GTTGTTGCAAAAACGGGTCAAATTGTTTCAACGATGGGAATCTTGTCCCAATGACAAGGGAGCTTGTTTAACGAAGGGGTTCTTGATTTCCCGGACTTTCGGGATTTTTAATCCGGTCCAGGTCGTGTCAAAAAACATAATCTGATCAGGTTCAGATATAAAAATCATATAAAAATACCCCTTGATTTAAGTTAATACCCCTTGATAAAAGATTAACTAATACAAGAAGTGGTCAAGGGTATTGGAGATATGCAAGGATGTCGTGGATCATTGGTATTAGCAGAGATTAGGTAATTATTTATGATAAGATGAAGGGATATCGCTTGATAAAAACGGATTAGTAAAATTAAAAAAGCTTAAAAGGTTTAAATCTGTTTACATCCCTTTAAATCCCCAGACATATCCGATTTTCTGTTAAAGAGAGATATCGGAGTATCCTTCTCCCGGTTCCTGTTATAATTTATGGATAAGAATAGACATCGGTGGATTTGAGGTTTTACCAATATATCGTCTAAATCCCACGTATTCCTACATATCCCAATTAATCACCCGACTCTTCAATCCACTTTTTCATTAATCAAACATTATTGATTAACTTTGGAATAAAATTTTTTAATATTTTAAAAATATGTATTTTTTGAAATCTTGTGCCTAGAGATTTCAAAAATCTTGTGCCTAGAAAAATAGACAAGTCTTTATCAAAAATTTCAGAAAATTTCTTCTTAAATTTTGGTTAAAAATTTTTCTTGTGGGTCTTTTGTCTGTGGGTATTCTGTCCTTGTGGGTCTTCTGTCTGTGGGTCTTTTGTCTGTGGGTCTTCTGTCCTTGGGTCTTCTGTCTGTGGGTCTTCTGTCACTACGCCATTTTTTGGGAAGGACGATGTTATATATGAGGTTGGAAAGAAAATTAAAAATGATTTTAATTTAAAATTTTAGAGTCGTTTCAACATTGGAAATAAAGAATTTGTGTCTAATGATCAACTTACATTTGATATAAACCCCGGCGAAAAAACTAAACTCAAATATGATCCAAAGAATAAGGAACTCATTCCTGATATTTGAGAAAATACATATCGTGTTTGAAATTTTTTCAGACAGGGTTTTTAAGAGTTTTAAAATGTTCGTGTTTTTAGCATGTGTATTCATAGGCAAAATGATATCTTTATTTTTTTGCAAAATCCTATCTTAATCTCTAAATGCTATCTTTAATCTTTCGGGTTGGGACATTTTCGGGAGGGGGGGGGGGGCATTTTCGGGGGTTTTATTCAGTGCGACATTTTCGGGGATGGGTCAAAAAATTCGCCTGCAGCGCTGAAATTTGATTTAAGAATTTTTAGTGAAACCCCAACCCAAAAGTCAACCGCGACCCCGAAACCCGACACACCCACCCCCGAAGGGTCGGGTTGCTACCCTAGAAAGAATCATCAACTATATGATAAATTTTTATTTTAGAAAATTTATTTGTTTTGAATTCTTTAAACTAGAGTTGTTGACCCTAGTTTATTTTTTCCTTCAATTTTTACTTTTCGGGGTTTTGCTTATTTAATTCTTTTTTAATTTTTATTTAAATGTTAAAAAATTTATTTAAAATTTATTTTCTATTATTATTATACAATTTTTACCCTAAATTTCGGATTATTTTTAGTATAAATTTATTTTAGCGTAATGGTAATAAACGCAAATTTCTGGGATTTCTATCAAGCATGCTTAGAACTAGAGTACGTCCGAGTCGGGTCGAGTACGAGTATACCCGACGCTATTCTCGGCTTTTATACAACTTTACTCGTACTCGATAGTCGGGGTCTTAGTACCCGGCATTACTCGTACTCGGAAACTTCATACTCGTACTCGGTTAAAACCGAGTATTTTTATGCCCCTATCTGCAGCGCAACAAGGAAGATTTTTGGCTTAAGGGTCTTCCAAATTTCCCAAAATTTTCGCCTGCGGCGCTGAAAAAGGAAGAAATTCTGTCCTTGGCCTTACAAATTTCTCAAAATTTTCGCCTGCGGCGCTGAAAACGAAGACTTATGTGTATATTGGAGGATGTGAATGGACTTGGGTGGATTTTAGTGATAGTCGGATATTTCAAGAGAAGGATCTGGCCTTCCGAAACTTGGTTGTTCCTCTTAGCCTTCAGAAATTCTCAAAATTTAAACCAGCGGAGCGGAAAGAGAGTGATAGAGCTACGGATCTCGTGATTACCTTTCGACGACATACATAATCCAATGATATCACAATTAATCTCTCGAATTTCCCAGATTCTGCTCTTAATACACCCAAATCCCTGATAATCAGTCCAAATCCAGCTTAATCCCTTGATATCCATCTCATTCCTCTGTTATCACTTATATCCGCATAACCTACACAAATCCCCCAAAATTATATTATCCATTGATTTTCCACCCGAAGCCTGAAGACAACATGAATCTTGGACAATATCATGTAATTTCGGCGGATTAAGAGGGATATCGGCGGATTAACGAAAATAACTTGGATTTGTATGATGATCCCCTGCATCAGTGTCAATAAATGCCCAATACCCAGCATTTATGATGAATAAAAGTATTGTTTTTATTAAAATTATTTTACAATACTGTTTTATAAAAATTACTCGATTACTCGATTTACTCGTACTCGGCCTAAAAATTGAAACTCGTACTCGTACCCGGACTTTTCATACTCGGCTTTACTCGTATCGGGTTTTTCCAAATTACTCGAACTCGGACGCACTCTACTTAGAGCTGTGATTCAAAAGATTCCTCGGATATCCGAGAGCAAGGCGAACCAAAAGTTCCTTGTTTTTTTTATGTTATTTTTTAAGATAACTCTACTCAAAATATCAATAAACCCTTCCCCTTTTTATTTTTAAATACCTCTAATTTTTAACGTCTCATTAGCATCCAACCAACTTAAATTAACTTTATCTCCAGCTAATTCAGCAGCCATATGTGCACGCCAAGTATTATCATCATCAATTTCTGTTTGATTATCATAAATTCGATTACTTTCGTTTAATTGTAAATTATCTCCAATTCCTTCTACACGAGCCCCTCCAGATAATTCGACATTTAAAGAAATTGCCTAAATAATTTATTTAAGTTTTTACTAGTTTTCGGAATTCAATTGTGATATTTACTGTAAGAAAAATAAAGTGAAATTCGAAAAACTTAGCTGATATCTTTTCCTTTTATTTCTCGATTCTAAGAAGAATTAGAAATGGTCAACGGCACATAATGATAATAAGGACATACATAGTAATAAAATATAAAAATTTCGGTTACTGATAAATGAGGGTTCATTTTTGTTTAAAATTCATATTAATAAGTTAACTATAAAATTAGAAAGGCAAACTTAAAAAGAGAATAAAGAAAATATTAAGAGTATAAAAGCAAAAGTTCGCATTTCTATAAAATAAAATTCTGGCAACAAAGTAGTCTTCAAAATCAACAATTTCAAATTACAAGAGGATGCTGTTTCGTTACAACCAAAATTCTTCAAATGTTTCTTTGATGGTTCCTGTCTCTATGTTACTATTGTTTGTTGGATGTAGTGTAGTCAATTGTAATTTAGTTGGGCATGGAGGACATTGGCTGATCAACAACAAAATTGTAAAATTGAATGGAAATACAAAGATTGCCGAGAATCCAGATGATCTTAAACTGTATAAAAAATTGGAGGGTTCTTGCGATGTTGAGATGGTGGAAGGAAATATGTAAGGAAAATTTTATACATTATAAAATTTCCCTCCTTTTCAGTAAAATCTGGTACGAAAAAAATAAACCTACAGCAAATAAAGGATGTTCAATAGATTTGGTAACAAAAAATGTTGGTCAGCTTCCTTTGAGATTTGGTATTTGGCACAAAAATGGCAGCATAGCTGAATGTTTACCCGAAAATATGTGAGAAATATTTTCTTAAAAAATTTCCTATTACTTAATTACATCTAGATTGCCTTTCTCCACCAGTCTGAAGGATAAAGAATTAGACAATATCAAAGACGAACCAATTTTAGATACAAGCAATGAATGCAAAAATTTGAAACTCTGTTCGTCTTTACCAAGTGACTGCTTGAAATTAGCTAATTATTTTGTCTCTTCTATTAAAACTGAAGGAAACGTGTTAAACTACATTCTCATGGGTAATAAAAATTTATTTTAATAGGTCTAAAAATCAAAAAAAAATTTTAAGTTCTGAACTCAAAACCACCTAACAACGAAAAGCTAGTTACTGTACAGACATCCTTGGATTTGCTTCTTAATGGAAATCTTGTTATTAAAGATTGTACTTCAAAATCTGTTTTAACTTGCGAAAATAACGAAAATATTCGAATACCAGAAGTGTGGGAGATTACGGATGAGAATTATAAAAACAATGGATTCAAAAGCCTCTATACTTTTCATCTTTTACCTCTAAATGTTGCGAGAAGAACCTTACAAAAAGTTTTGAAAGGATGTAGTGATGAGTCTAATGAAAGGGAAGCATCAAAACTTCCTTTGGATGAGGCAAAATTTCAAAGATGTGACAAAATGTTTATTGAATTTGTAAGAGAAATAATTCTTTTATGACACAAAATTTGAAATTTTAGGACGAAGAAAACATCAAAATGCTTGTTCCAGACGTTAAAAAAGAAGACAAAAATGAAGTCACCGACGTTGGTAATTTAACAACAATTCAAGAGACAACAGTAACAACTACAAAACCTACTACAACAATTACTACAGAAGCTTCGGGGATGAAAAGCTCTATAATTATTCTGATCATTATTGTGGTTATTGTATTGTAAGAGTTTTCTTAAAATATGAAGAAAACTGGCTTTTCTTGCTGATCGGGATTCCCTTATGTTTAAGAAATCTGGATTCAGAATTGGGATTCCTGACGAAGAGGGCGGGTATCCCCTCGGGAAAAGTTCCCCGTTTTAATGATTTCTTCGGAAACAGTTCCCTGTTTTGTGCCAAATATATTAGTTTTACATTAATCTTTTAACTAAAATTAATTTGTAGGATGTTGGTGATCATTGGCTTAGTATATTACTTCATACAAAAAGCTACCGAAGAAAAGGTTGAAATAGCTGTAGATAAAAAGAAAGAAATGTCAACAAATATTGGAGGAACTTCTACGGATAAAAAGACTTCGGCAACTTTTGGCAGTCCTCAAACTAAATTTGGAAGGGGAAATGTTGGAGACCAAGAAAAGAAGAAAACGCTGGGTTCTGCCTCGGGGGTGACTGGGACTAAAAATTGAGTTTGGAGAAAGTTGAAAGAAACGATGAAAGTAATGAAGATAAATAAATATTAATTGTGATAAAGATGTATTCAAATATATTTGTGTATATTTGCTTTGATGTTAGTTAAGTGTTTTGGGGTTTCATTTCATTGGTGTATATTAGTGATGCTCGGGAGAAGAAAAAACCCGGGAATCGGGAAACGGGAGTCGGGTCGGGAAATGACCTCGGGAGTCGGGATCGGGAGGCCAAAAACTCGGGAAATTTTCCCGAGTCGGGAGTCGGGATCGGGATACCCGAGCATCACTAGTGTATATAATAAAATTGTCAAAAAAATTTTAAGTAAACAGACAAAATCAAAATAAAAATTATTCTAAAATGACTTAAGAAAAAAGCAGTGCTGGTATTGGGCATTTGTTAGCTCCGGCTCAGGGTTTCTAAAATCTTAGCTTCCGGAGCCATACCCAGAACTGGAAGAGTATAAAAGGACTCATTAAAAAAAATTAAACAAATCGCAATCATAAATCGACAACAAAGTAGTCTTCAAATCAACAATTTCAAATTACAAGAGGATGCTGTTTCGTTACAACCAAAATTTGGTTCCTGTCTCTATGTTTCTGTTGTTTGTTGGATGCATGGTGGTCAATTGTGATTTAGTTGGGCATGGAGGGCATTGGCTGATCGAGAACAAAATTGAAAAATTGAATGAAAATACAAAGATTGCCGAGAATCCAGATGATCTAAAGCTGTATAAAGAATTGGAGGGCTCTTGTGATGTTGAGATGGTTGAAGGAAATATGTGAGGAGTGTTTTATAAATGATAAAAGTTTCCCTCTTTTTTAGTAAAATCTGGTATCAAAAAAATACACCTACAGCAATTAAAGGATGCTCAATAGATTTGGTAACAAAAAATATTGGTCAGCTTTCTCTGAAATTTGGTATTTGGCACGAAAATGGCTTAACTGAATGCTTGGGGGATACAGGAAAAATTGTAAAATCACAAATGGAAAATCATACAGCTGTTGCCGATAATATGTGAGAGAAATTATTTCTTCCCTAAAAAATCTTTATTTTCACAGGTTGCCTTTCTCTTTCAGTCTAAAGAAGGAAGAATTTGACAGTTTAAAAAAAGAACCAAATTACGGTATAAACGATTATTGCGAAAATTTAATAGTCTGCCAAATGACTGATAGCAAATGCTTGAAGGTGGCCGATTATTCCGTTGCTTGGGCAAAAACAAAGGATTACGTGTCTAACTTTGTTTTTCTAAGTAAGGAAGAATATTTTCTAGAGACTGGACTAGTGATTGATTGAGAATCAGGGCTGTGCGCCAAAATTTTTGCGTGGCGCGCCAAACGCCAATTTTTCAAATTTTAAAATCACGCCAGTCGCAAAACGCCAAAAATCGGCCAAAAATGGACGCCAAAACGCCATGACGCACAGCCTTGTTGAGAATCTCGGATCCAATCTCTAATATTTTTTACTCTTTAAAACCCCCCCCCCCCCAACATTTTTCAGTTGGTGACGGAGCAACAGAACCGTGTCTTAGTAACGAGAGGCATTCTACAGTAGAAACATCTTTTGATTTGTTGCTCAATGAAAACCTTTTTGGAATTGAAGATTGCAATTCAAAACTTGCTTTGTCTTGCAGCAAAAAGGAAAATATTCGAAAACCGGAAGAGTGGGAAATTGTGGATGAGACATACAAGAAGACTTACTCAAAAATGGAATTTAATTTTCTTTTTACTTTTCACATTTTACCCTTAACTGCAATGAGAAAAAGCATTCAAAAATTTTGGACTTCGTGTGATTCTAAAGAGGGAATTTGTGCTGACGATGAAAAATTTCAAAAATGCGACAAAATGTTTATTGAATTTGTAAGGGGGAAACAAATCCTTCAAAATATTTCTTTAATTTTCAGGATAAAGAAAACTTCAAAATGCTTGTTAGTACAGAAGAAAATAATGAAGACAAAACTGACGACAAATTAAAAAAAGAAGAAAATTTTTTGGGTGAAGAAGATTCAGGGATCAAAACCTCAACAATTATACTAATTATTATTGGTGTTACTATAGTGTAAGATTCTTTTCAATGTTAATTATGGACCTTAGAAAGCTTTTTTTCATTTGGACATTTTTGCGGACAACTCTTGCGGACTATTTTTGTGGGCAATTTTTCGACATATCTTTTTATGCATGTAGTAAATCATAAATAATTTACCTATAACTTTAAAAAGTCCGCAAGAGATGCCCGCAAAAATTTGTCAGCAAAAAATTTGTCCGCAAAATTTGTCCGCAAGAACTTCTCCGCAAAAAAAATTTTCTGTTCGCAATCTACTTATTTTTAAATTATAGGATTCTGGTGTTAATTGGCATTGCTTTTTTGTTCTTAGAAAATAATGAAATCAAAACTGAAAAAGCTCGAGATAAATCAAGGGAATTTTCAACAAATATTTCAATTGGGAATTCTAAAAGTAAAAGAAGTTTACCCTCTTTTGGAAGTTCTCGAAGCAAATATGGAAGGGGATCTGTTGGGGAAAAAGAGAAGAAGAAAACACTTAATTCTAATCGTGAGATAATAAGTAGTAGTTCAAGTTCTGTTTCGAAGAAGGTTTAAAAGAAATAATGAAAATTTGATAAAATTTGTATAATAATTTGTGATAAATACATATAGTATGTATATAGTAATAAATTATGGACATGAATAAGTGTGCATTTTTGTAGGAAAGGATATTTGTGGATTTTCTGCTAAACAGACAAATATTTTTATTTTTAAAATTAGGGTTGTTGGCGGTCGGTTTTTGGCGAATTAACCGGAACCGAAAACCGGGGTTCGAAAACCGGCGATAATCGAAAACCAAGGGTACCGGTTTTTAACCGGTCGCCAACAACCCTATTTAAAATAGACAAATATATCGGATAATTTTAACTTTTGTTTAAAAATTTCTTATTTACCCTAGAGGCACTCAGAGCCACCTCTCGCCCGTTAGGAGCCATTTGTAGCAAAGAAGCATTTGACCAAATAGTTGCATTTAAATGGGGTTCAATTAACTGAATACGGGACTCGCCTGAGAGAACCTTTTAAATATTTAATAAATTTAAATATTTTTTAATTTACTTGGATTCTATCAGCAACGGAAACATTTGAATTTGTTGCATATATCTACAAATTAAAATCAAAATTATCTAATATATCCTTAGATATCCTAACAGTTATATGTAATAAATCTTTGTAAGATTAATTGCTAGAATGTAAAGAACTTAAGCGGTATTTATGATTTAAAAAATGCTTTTTCCGGGGGGCTTAAAAATACTGACACAAAGAGGCCACAGATTTGATTCTTGCCCATTGTTAGCCACTTAAGCCTATTGTTAGCCACTTAAGCTGACAACGGGTTTATTGTAAATAAACCCGTTGTCAGCCTCTCTTAGCTAACCTCTTACTGTTCTTGAAATCTCCTATTTATGCAACTTATAACTTTTATTCTTCTATTGGAAGGGCTATTCTCTCAAAACAATAACCAAGCTTCAATTTTCTGTTTCGTTATTTCACCTAAGATTTGTTTTTCCCACAAGTTCTCTCATTCGAAAAAGGGATCCAACCCTAATTCCAACCCATTTTGTCTATAAAAATACTTCCAGACCTACCCTAACATTATCTGCCGGTATTGTCTGTCTCCTCATTCTTCTCAACTGTTTCTCATCAAATATAAAATCTTTCTCTTTATTTACTTCAATTTCCTCTTTCAAGAAAACCGAATTTATTTTTGTAACATTTAATAATTGTAAATAAACAATAGCCCCAATTAATAAAGCCAAAACAAAAAGAGAAAATAATAACGGTAAACATAACGCCAAAAATTGTTGCGGAAAAATATTTTTTGAAATTAAAATTGAATTTTTATTTTGTAAATTTTTGGTGTTTTTTATTTCTAAATTAATTTTTTGTTTATTAAATAAATAATAAGGGGGAGGCTGTTGAAAATAATATTTTGTTGATTTTTGTTGGGGAGAATTTAATTTATTGTTGTCGTAATTGTTGTTTTTAATAGACATTTTATTGCCCCTTTTTATTGTTTTTAGTAAATTCTCTATTATTTTTGTTTTATTTTTAATATAGAACAGTCAATTGGAAGGATATAATGAGGACTAAAACATTTTTTGGATTATCCAACTATTGAGTAGGTTGAAACTGGGAAGCTTTGGAATCGGTTCCTCAAATGGAAAAAAGCAATCATTATGCGTAATGCTGCCCTTATTAAAGAGATAATACTCTATTTTTCATCTAAATTAATTATTAACTCTCTTTACTGTCAACTTCACAATAAAAAAATTTTTCTAGCACACTAAACATATCTACTATCCTAAGCTGTCTTTAAATAAAAAAAAGCTGCGAAATCGAAAGTATAATTTCGAAACAGTCTGCGATTATTTAATGAAACTCGGTTAATGACATAAGGATAAAATTTAGTATTTCAAAAATTTAGGAAAGCGATCTAATATTATATGAATATGTACCAAACTTCTGAGTTGATATTTGAAATCTTCTAATTTATGAAAAGTCGTATTATAATTCCGGCAATTTTTGAATACTAAATTTTTCTAAAAAATATTTTTAAATTCCAAAAATTTAATTTAAAAATATTTTTATTAAAAATATTTCTATTTAATAAATCCAGAAAGAATACAAACGAAAGGAAATCTGTGAAAGGCAAAAAGTGCAAAAGGCCAGATAATAATAGTAGCCTTTTAACGTCTAAAAATACGTTCTTTCCTGCGCGGGGATATTTAAAAGGAAAGGAAGGAAAAGAAGAAAGGAATTAACACCTCAATTCATCTTGGCAATTACTAAAAATAAATATATTTGCTGGCTAATAACAAATTTTCTTTTTTTATTAGTTTTTAAATAAGAAAAAACTGACCGAGAATTATTTTTTGCTTAAAATATTTGCGTGCAGAAAATCCCCCTTTTGCTTTTACAGATTTAATAAAATAGTAATAAAGTGTACTTTTAATTTTTTATTGGCACTTTTCTCATTTTTTTAACGTCTTAGACACCCCCACATAGTAATTTTTTACATTTGAGAGGGTAAAATAGCCTGTTTATTATGTATTGGACACAAAATTTCTAAGAAATAAAGTAATTAGGGGAGAAAAATTAAAATATAAATAAGTAAATAGAGCTGTGACAAAACGTTTACATACCTATTTTCGAAAATTTCCTAGAGAATTATTTATCATTGTTTTTCGAGTCCAATTTTGGTGAAGCTAACTAAGCTTGAAAAGGTATTTTTAAATTATCTGAACTGAAACGATAGTTAGAGTAGAAAATTTTTGACCTTCAACTAATAATATTTTTTGAATAAAAATTATTCATTGGATGGGAGATGGAATTTAACCATCACGGAAAGGAACCAAACCGAAGCACAACCGACTGTGCCACCATCCAGCGCAATGTTGGGTTATTTATTTTCATTTATATTCTTTCTGCATGTGCGGACACAATAAAAATATTAGCTTCGTTGAAGTATTCAAAATTAAGAAAGCGCAAATCTCGAGAATTTTCAAAGTTTAAATCTAAACATATACCCAACTTAAAGCTGTAATAATCTATACTTATTACTTTTGTTTTCCCTTCAAAAGGCGTGACTATTGTTGGTCAAACAAAAAGAAAGAAAAAAGGGAAGGGCCGTTTTTACTTCTTATTATTGTCCACCCTTTTTAAAATTTTCTTTTTCTCTTTAAAATATTTCCAATCGCCATGACAACTTTGGAGAAAGGAAATATAAATATCCCAGCTCCAAAACCACCGGTCACTCCAAAAAAGGTTTGTAGAATTTAAAAATGTTTAGAGCATTGCACAATAGAATGGATAGAGGAGTCTTTTAATCCTTAAAACAATTAAAAGAAAGAAAAGACTTATTTTTATTAAATTTAAAATAAAATAAGGTGAGGGGATTTACATGAAATTAAAAATTATTTAAAAAAATATTAAAAATAGGAAATGATTTAAAATAATTTTAGAAAGAATTTGGAAATAAAAATAAATAAAAACAAGGTGAAATAAACAACTCGAAACAAAATAATCTGCGGACCCGGGGCTGTATCAAAAAAGCGAGTGGAAGAACCTGGTAAATTTAAACCTTTGGAACGATTCCAGAACCGGGTCCGGGCCAGTTCCAGACCTTTGCTGGTTCCGGTCTGGAACCTTTCCATGAATGATTACAACTATTTGGTACATTTTTCGTTTATATTTTTGACTTCGACCTAAAAAAATATTTTTTGGCTTCTTCAATTAAACAAAATTTTAGAATTTAACATAAAAAATTAAATTCTCCAAACTATTTTGTATGTATTTCCTTATCTAATTATTTATCAAAAAATATTTTTCAATAAAATAAATTTTTATAAAGCAAAGGGTTTATTTTTTGTAAGAATATTTTTATAAATTTAATTTTTAAATCAAATTTGCATTATTCACTCAATTAAATTATATTTAACATTTATTCTTATTTTAAAAAGTATCAAGAAAAAAGAAAAAAGAAAGGAAATTATCAAAGAATAAAAGAGTTAAAAGTTAAGAAAAGATAAAAGAATTTCACAAATTTATCAACATTTATTGTAATATTCAGTTTTTTTGTTTGAACATTTCCCATTCATGCACTGTTCCCCATTCATTTTGTACATATCCCATTTATGCAGTCCCCAAGACAACAAAAATTGTCTTTACCATCGCAGGGTTGATTTTTTAGTCGACAATATTTACATTGTTCAGTTATACATCTCATACCATAACAACATCTATCATCATTTTTATTACACGTTCCTGTTTTGCAAGCTTGTTGAAGACATTGATATCTCGCACGGTTACTGTTAGCGGCATAAGTACGTGAACAACTTAAAGTTCCACAACAGCTTCCCTGAAGTACCTTTGCTATACAATTTTCTCCATAAAGTGGAATGCATTTCTCATTTTTAACTTCAAATATTAAAAAAGTAGAGAAGATAAAAAGAAGGCAATAAATATTAATTGAAGAAGGCATTATTTTGTTCGTTTTTTAATCTTAAAATTTTAAATGTTTAAACGTCTCTTAGTTTTATTTACACCATGGAAAAAATATATTCCTTAAATTCAGTTATAATATTAATTAGAAAGTAAAAATAAATATACCTAATTTGAATTTTAACATTATTAGAATTTTCCGGAAATTTTCAAATTTTCCTAAAATTGAAACTTGCCGCCGACATGTGTTTCAAAAGTAAAATTTTTCGATTTTTCTGTCATTAACACTTATGTCAATATGTTTTATAATTTTGAAAATATATACATACATAAATTAACTAAACAAGAAGATCTATGGACAATTTAATTTAAAAAAAGTTCAGTAATTTATTTTTATTTTTAATTTTTTTTCAAAATAGGGTGTTTCATAAGCGCTCTTATATAAGTAAAGATTTTCTACATTAGGGATGGTTCGAAAAATCCACAAAAATTCCCGTAAAGATATCAAGTGATATTAAAAGAAAATACAAAAGAAATGTTTGAAACACAGTTTATGTTTAGCAAGGACTAAGACGAGGTTCAGGAGATTCGGGACTGATTGATCCGAAATCGAGATTGGGAAAAGCCAACTTTAGTTTAAAATAAAATATGATTTATTTATGAATAAATCAAACGATTATTTATATTCCAAAATTCGCTTTCAGACACAAAATAAGAAGAATAATGAAAACCAACAATAGAACAAATTAAACATAAAAAAGGAAGAAAATTAACAACTTTTTACGCTAATATTTGGCTAAAAAAATAAACAATTTTTATAAATTTGAATATATCCATAAATAAATCTAAAAAGAGTAAAAATTTCATCTCTAAAAATTTATTTTTTTATTAATTCATTATTTTTGGCCCTCATGATCATAAGGAGGTTTAAAAACAAATATAGAAAATATAGAAAAGGAACAAATTTGATTACTAAAAAGTTTCTTTTATTTTTTGTTTAATTGTTTAATTCAATTATTCAAATACAGTTATAATCAGTACAAACTCTGTTCTAAAATCACCCGATTTGGATACTTCTTATTTTAATAAGATGCAACAAGAGGTATGAAATTCGAAGTTCGCCCAATCTGTATAAGTCAAACAGGAAAATGTTGTGCTCCATTAGTAGTAGGGATAGGGTTTTTGAATCGAGTCCTTTTTCGGGCCTAAATCTATTAAAAATATTAGACAAAAATCAAATAATAGTGAATAAGAATCCATTTGAGCCCGTGTCATATCTATTTTGTGTTATGTATAGGATTTGAAGTGATAGTAATTTGGAGGGTATCGATAGGATATCGGCAGTTGCCCGCGGTCATGAATTTAAAAAAAAGCGTGTAAATTTAGAATTGTAGGAGGTACAGTGGAAATTTAACAGTGAAAATCTTTTTAATAAAAAATAGAAAAACATTTGAATTTACAATTCGTTGATTGTATAAATGAAAGAAAATTCAAAAATAAATAAAAAATTTTCTTAATTAAAAATTCAAAGATGGTAAATATCCCAAAAATTTAATAATTTGTCAATTGTTGCCGTTTAGTGACAACAATTCTTTTTTGTTGTTGTAAAGGTTTTCTTCTAGCAGAAGGTTGCCTTTTAGGAATTTTCGTTGTACTTTCTTTGTTCTTCAAAGTAATCTTGTTTTGATTAGCCGTTAATTTTTTCTTGTTAATTTCTTCACCTTCCTCCTCTTCATTAATTTTTCCAAAATTTGAATTTTTTCCTTTATTATTTTTTCCATTTTTAATTAAATTATTTCCATTATTATATACGTTGCAATCGCTACTCGAACATTCTGTATCAGTACATATTTGTGTTGATGGATGTTGAAAAATATTTTTATTTTTTCTGTAAATAATCCTTTCATTAAATTCTTCATTTTCTTCATTATTTCTAATGCTTTGAACCATTTGGGCAGGTGGTTGGGTTATTACTGTGGCATTCGGTAGGCGCAACTGTAAATCACCGTTTGGAGTAGCGTAAAGAGTCATGACATGGGGATTGTTGGCAAAGTCTGAAAATTGAGGGAAATTGTTGATTAATTAGAAGGACATGTTTAAGAATGCATCGGTTTATATAAAAATATTAGAAAATATCGGATGGAGGCTTAAGGATGAAATAAAAATAGGTCCTGTCTTCGTTTGCGGGTTGGAAGACGACATTGTCAACTTAGAGGATCTCCAGCTTGGAGAAAAGGAATTCCCTGGGGAACGGGGGAGGACCTTGTTTGGATCCTCAAATTCTATCTTCAAAACCCCATAAAACTTGTAGAAACAGCAGTCGACTCTTTATTGAGAAATTAAAACCTCATCCTACTTGAAAAATAAATTTTCTAATACAAGGGTGGGATTAGTAAATTAAACAATTCAACAAATTTTCTATTTATTTCTCCCCAAATGTACGTATTTTAGAATTTTTTTAATTAACTAGACCATTATTATTAGCATTTCCATTTGCCCCACTTAATAGTTGTGCAAAAGAAGGGTTGTTGTTATTCGCCCCTCCAACAGCCATTGAATTAAAAGCCCCCACAACAGATTTATTAAAGCGGCAACATATTTTATCCACTAATTGTGTCCAAATATTATTACAGGAAACGAGAATCTGAAAAATAAAATTTTGTGAAAAAAAATCTATTTTCAAAACCATAGTTGGCACAATCAAAGGATGGAAGATTTTAATGATGGTAACAAGTGTATCTACATCTTTGGAGGTTGTAGAGCCTGTAAATTGTGCAAAACTTTGTTGAACTTCAATGCTGTTGCGGATCTGGAAATATTAAAATTATTGAGGAGAAAGAGTAATTAAAATGAAATAAATACACAATATATAAAATTATATTTTTTATTTTATTTGAGGAAAAATAAGTTGCAGGGAAGCAGGGTTTAGAAGAAAATTAATTTTTGGAACGGGAATTCGGCCGAGCTCCCTTAATAAATGATTTAAGATCAGTGGAGTTTTAATATTTAATTATCATTAATTTTCAATTATGTTATCAGAATTTTTCTTTAAATTTTGACTTGGTGGATATCCGATTTTTTAAAATAAGTAAAAATTAAGAAAATATTGCTTTAATTATTTAAAAATAATTTTTAAAAATTATTTAATTTCATTTTAAGTCCTATAATAAACAGTGTTGTTTCGAAATTTCGATTTCCGATTTTCGAGGTTTTTTCCTTTTGATTTTTGAAATTTTGTGATATTTTAGATTTCGAAGATTTTAAAAAATATTTTCAATTTTCGATATTTTTGGATTTCTTTCGATTTTCGAAGATTTTTTTGTTTTGAAACATCTCTTATAATAAAGATTTGTGTTATTTTATACATATAAATTTTTAAAACAATTTGTTGATTAAAAATTTTTTAATTAATTTTTCACACTTTTAAAAAACAATTATTTCTATACCTGAACAAAAAAATCCAAGCAAATATAAGGTCCCTGAATGACTGCATATTCAAATACCAACCAAAAGAACAGTCTACTCAATTGCATGTGTTCATCCAAAATTCGGTTTTCCAAAATAAAAGCTCCGTATTGTTCTGGTTTTGCTGGGAGTGAACGAACAATTCGTTTTTGTTTAATTATGGACCCGAAGCATATGAGGAGAACAAAAATGCAACCCTTTAAAAATAATTTTTTAGTACTTTTTAAATAAAGTTCAGAAACAACTGTTAAAAGTGCCCTGAGGGTACGAATTATTTTTTTAGTTCTCGAGAAGAAAAAATATTTAGAACAGTTTATAATAGGAGCGTTATGACGGTAGTTGACAAATTTTTTTAATTTAAATCATTAAAAATATACCCCATATACAAGCAATTGTGCAAGAGAATATAGCACTGGAGAACCACTGAAATATTTAAAGGCAATAAAAAATTTTATATGAAAATTAGCTAATTATTTAAAATTAATTCTTATTCCCTATTTAGTTCTCTATAATTTAAGCTATATTTGATTTCATTATCTCTAATTTGGATAAAGTTATGATGTAAATTATGTGCCCAATTTCTTTCTGGTAACCCTTATACGATAATGCGCAAGCTTCTTATTTTGCCTTTTGTTTTTTAGATTTAATTTAGTTTTCCTTATTTTTTAAATCCGTTTCGGCAGGCATTCTTGTATACAATAATAATTATAATTTGTATAGAACCAATTAATATCGTTATTATTTAAAAAAAATTTTCAAGAGAAACCTTCCAATAGCACATAAATATCGGTAGGGAAAGACAGAGACTTGAAAGCCTGGAATCAACAATGGAGTCGCAAAACAAATCGGAATTATCATAAAAAGAATGGCTAAAGATCCAAATATTTTGCGAGTAACTAAATGTCGTCGTATCAGAGTTAGGGCTCTCTCCATTGCAATTAGTGTTAGTGTAAGTAGATTTGCGAGGAAAAGAGACTAGAAAAGAATTAAATTAGACATAAATATCGTTTTGATGAACAGCTTGTTATGTAAGAGTTTTCTTTGGTCCCTTAGAGTGGTTATAAGGTTCACGTATTCTATTTCTTTATCTTCAATGAAAACCCTATTAGTTGGATCATCTTTATGATATTTACATAGGTATATGCCCACGAATTCTTTTCTAAATGCAACTACAAATTCTTACATTAACATAAATTTCCAATCATACCAAAAATGCTATAGTATTATTTCAAATAACCAATTTTATAATTTAGATCCCTTTATATTTTTTATCATTGTTTTTTTCTAATTTATCTAATTTATAAACTTTTTCTCTATTTTTAGAAATTTTATTAACCAAGATCTATCTAAAAACTTTTTCCATCTGTTTATTAATGCCAAAAAAATTTTTTTAATTAATCAAAAAATAAACACCTGTTGCGCAAAAGCATTCACGCGGCAAATTGTTCTACCAAACGTCCAAATACCACCTTTGAATATTTAATTAGTTATCAAAATTAGTTTGGAATATTAAAATAATTTAAATTTAAAATGTAAATTTTAAAATTTTATTTCTAACCATTAGCTACACAAATGAGTGCTACAAATGAGATGAGGGAAACATCCAGTAAATTTAATCTAAAATTTAAAATAATTATCAATTGAAATTATTAAAATTAAAATCATTAGACTTACAAAGATAACATACAAAACATCAAATTAAGTAGAGATGAACGTAATTTGTAACTATAAAAATTATTAAAATTAATTATCAATTTATTTTTCTAATGTCTTGAATTATAATGCACTCTATAGGTATTTTGATCAGCTTTCTATTTAATCAGAAAAGGTTGAATTATAATGAGGAGATTTAAAGGTATAGAAAATCATTCTCAAAAATATTTTCAGATTAGAAGGAGCAAGTTTAATATATATAATAGAATTTTGTTTATTAAAGATTAATTATTAACAATTTATTTTAACAAGCTGTTAATAATAAGGTGAACTTGATGTTACAAATAACCCATTCTTTTTTTATTTCTTTAATTAATTATTACCAAGTCAAAATCGTAACAAAAACTGCCATATTTAATAAAAACGAAGCTATAACAATAACCCCCATTAAAATAGAGATGGCTGTAGAAAGTCCTGTAGTTGAAATTCTCTCTGGAATGGATACCATATTTGTGTTATAAAAATCAAATTGAATAGGTAAAGCTGTTAATAAATCTAGGCCGGTATTTAAAGTTGAATTTAAAGTATCGTTAAAGTAAATATTTTTGTTGTTGGTTGTTGTTGTTATGTTTTCGTTCATAATCTGGCAAAAAATAATGAGAAGAAAATAAAATTAATGAACGAAAAAATATTAATGGGGAATACTTTAATAATGGAGAAATGAGAAAAAATAATGAAAGGCTTATGGCTTATATTTAGAACATTTTTTCTTTAAAAAATTTTTTCAGTAAACCCCCGTACCCCGACCCGAACCCCGACCATATTTTGCTCCCCCGACCCGAACCCCGCCCCGAAACAATTCGAAAACCCCGTACCCCGACATACCCGCCCCCGAACGTTCGGGGTCAAACCCTATTTTAAACTTGGACTTGATGTACTATACATATGTATATATGACTAGCTAATTAAATAAATTTTTAAAAATTATATATACCTACGGAAATTAAATATAAATTAACGTGCTAATATTAATGGACACAAAATATAAAATATAATTGTGTCTGGGCTGAGAAGAAAAATAATCAAAATTAATTGGAAAGCTTGAACTGCCAGACTCATTAAATTACTCTTAAAAGTAACACGAAAAATTAAATTTAAAATTAAATAAAGTATTATTTTATTAAATTCATTTTAACCCAAATAAACAATTTAAAAAAATTTTCTTGGCACAGAATGGCACTTAAATAACAAATTTTTTGATTCTTTAATTATTTTTAAATGAGGAATTAAACACGCTATTCGTTTCTATAGTGAAGTGTGTATTTCAAAATAAAAATAAATAATGAAATAAACAAAGAGAAATATTTAAAATAGTAAATTTTTAGTTAATAGAAATTTAAATTTCTTTTAATAATTTTATTAAAATACTAGAATTATTAACCAGAAACAAAAAAATCATTTTTTTGAATATAGGCCCTCTCCGATTTCCCTTCTCGCTTTTTAAATTGCCCTCATGAACAGTAATTTTTTAAGTCTTTGGGAACACATATTTTTGGGTAATGAACGAAATAATTATTTTTTGACATTAAATTTTAATTAAACTAAACGGTAATTAACCATTAAATTTAATATGTTAACAATATTTAAAAAATATTTTTGTTGGCTTCTTTGATGATTTTTTGATTTTTAATAATTTAGAGAATATTATATACATAATTAAAAATAAAAGAAAATTTTTTTAATAAAGTAAAATATTCTAAATTAAATCTTAACATTTATATACCGGAAATGTTGAGGTAAATTATTAAATTTATTCACTTTTTTAATTTTTAATTTAATCCACGTAATTTAAATTAATTTAAATAGACACAAATAAAATATAAAATACAAATAAAATATATTTAAAAAGTGTCAAAAGTTTATTTGAGGTAAATTGAAATTTATGTGAAATTAATTATCTTTTAAAAATCTGTTCCTTTCAATAAGAAAACCTTTAAAAGAAAAAAAATTATTTTAAGGTAGAGAAAGTAATATTTTTAAAATTTGTCCCTAACAATGACTTTCTGCCATTATTTTAGTTTTACATATTTAAATGGTCACCGTGGTAACGAAAAGGAGAAAAAAGTTTTTCCAATTATTGTGGGTATAAGCATAATTTGTGACACAAAATAAAAATTTAAAAAAAGAATAAAATATTTAGATGTTCAGGGAAAGGTTATTTTAAGTAAATTAAATATAATTAAATTTGGAAATTATTGAATGATATTTTTAAATATAAATTAAAAATTTCAATTTTAGACAAATTACAAAAATTTGTAAAGTTAAGAAACCGAATTTTTTCTGGAATTTAAAGCGTTGAGAAACAAGCAGAAAAAATATTTTTAGCTCTCAATCAGTTTGAAATTAAAAGGAAGATTAATTATTTCCTTATTTTTCACATTTTCCTTTCATATCTACACTCAAATCATAGTTAAGCTTAAAACAAAAAGTTATGGATTCTATTTTTCTTAAATTAAGCCATTTAAACATTGAACGATTATCTTCGATTTGCACTTTTTAGTGGTAATAAAAATGAAATTTAAATTAGGCCAGTTTTATCGCTCGTTTGGATAAGACAGTCAAATAAAGTTAAATTTGGGAAGAAACAAGGAGAATACAAAATCTAAATTTACAATTTTTTATATAGGCAAAAATGAAATAAAACATTTTATCAAATAAACATCCGGGATTCTGTTTACAGAAAAATCGCAGTTTCGATTGAATATATGTAAAACAAATCATCAAAAAAGGTATCAAAAATATATTAGGTCGGGTCATAATTAGTGTCGCTTTTTTTCGGTTAAATTTTTAGGGGTGTTATTTTGTAAATATTCTTTTTTCTTATTAACTAATTTAAAGATCAGAATCTACTCTTTATTTTGATACCACGTTTAGATATATATGGGTGATATTCATAAAGTTATGATTTTTTGAACTTCACTACCTCGTAGTGAAATTCTCAAGCATTTGCACCATTAATTTTAAATTACCAAAAATGAAACACAAGAAACAAAAAATCATAATAATCTAGTAAATGGGATCGTTTCTATCCTAAACAGCAAAGAATAGGGTTCGGGCTATACTAGGAAGCCCGTATACCTCTCTGAAGCAAACATGGTTGAAGGAGAAGGCTGTCATTAAACATAACGGTCCTGCTCGACCGGTTTAGATGAAATCACGATATTTCTTCTTCTTAATTGTCGAGGGATATCTGCTCTATACATACAGAACGCTTGACAGAAAAAACGCGGTCTGCGCTTAAGGAAGGCAAATCAAATAACGCGCGTACTCACATTAAACAATTGAAACAAACGACACGACATCCCCCCAAAAAACGTTTTCTTATAACTCAGCGTAAAATCCTCCGATCAGGATGATCTAAACGGTTTTTTAAATAACATATAGGGCTTATACTGAATCCGAAATATAAAGTCTGTAAATCTTGTCAAACCCCGGAATTCGAATTTCGACTTTTTCGAAAATATAGACCTTTCTTAATAAAAATTCGAAATTGTGCTCGTCGGATAGAGATTTTGAAGGGCTTTCAAATGATATATCACACTAAAAATTATGATCACATATACTTGAGAAATTTTGATTTTCGTTGATTTCTGGAATTTTGATATTTTCGATCAGAACTCCCTGAATACCTAACCAAAAATTCTCAAATGTTGGTATCCTTTAGAACATAGTCTAACAGATGATTCGTAATAAAAATAAAAAAATTTCTCTGAAAGGTTAATTTTAAAAATCAAAAAAAACCCAAATTAAAAAAGCGACACTAATTATGACCCGACCTAATATATTTATCTATGAGATTATTCTTTCACATTTTTATTCATCTTTATATATTTTAGGAACTCCAACGCCGTTTGCATCAACGACAGTATCAGGAACCGCAACTCCAATTTTGAAACTAGAAGCTTCTCCCGGCTCGATTTGTGTATCCATAACAGTGTCGACATCATTGAAATCTTGGTGATATTGAGTTTCGACGACTGTAGAAGCATCATTAAAATGTTTTTCTTCTTTTTGTTCTTCATCTTCAACAGCAGAAGGAGGGGGCATTTCAACACCAACATTGGAGTCTTTTAAAGAATTTTTTGTAGTTGATTGAGTTGAACGTAGATAACTGCCTTGACTTTCATCTTGCATAATTTGTTTGTTTTCTTCTTCTTTTTTATCCTCTTTCCGAAACAAAATACAAATCAGAAAACAAACAATGCTTGCAAAAATTCTGAAAAATTATTACAGTAGACAAGGTAAATGTTATCCAAGAATACTCACAAAACTACAACGCCACAAATAATCAAAACAATGGTAGTTGTGGACATTCCTGAAGGCTTGGTAGAGGTTGTAATCCTTGTAATCTCCACATCATCATCAGTAGTAGTGTCTTCCTTATCAGTTTTGTCAATATTTTGGGTTGTAGAAAATTCCAAAGTTTTGCTCTCAAGTATTGAACTTCCAAGTGTTGAACTCTCAATAACATCCGGAACAAGAATTTTGAAGTGTTCTTTGTCCTAAAAATATTTTTATTTTATAAGAAAGGAGGAAACATGTCCTTACAAATCGAATAAACATTTTGTCACATTTCAACAATGTTGCCTCTTTATTACATCCTGGGTTTGTCCCATTTATTTTACAACTTGCCCAAGAATTCTGAATACTTTGTCGCATTGCTTTTATTGGCATAATATGGAAAGTGAAGAGATGGGTGAAGTTTTGATTGTTGTTGATATAATTATTGTCAAAAATCTTCCATTCTTCAGCCTTGCCAAGTTTTTCCTTCTTATAGCACTTTGTTGGTAAATTAAAAAATTTTTCTTCTTCGCTGACTGAAGCATACCGGAATTCTAGCCCTCTAATTATAAGCTTGAATGACGCTTTTTGCATACTAGGATTCTTAATTTGCATGAACTTTTGCTTGTTTTCGTCCCCAACTACGTTTAAATTAAGTTTAGAAAAATTTTTAGAAATTTCGCTACCTAGCTGAATGAAGTAACTAGGAACTCTCGATCCTTTATACAATGTGTCCATCCACCCAATAGAGTAGAAGGCTGTTGTATGCCAACAATCATTTTTCCTTTTGCATATTTTTGCACCCTCTTCACTGCTACAATCACTGGTACTATTCCATGTTTTCGGTCCCTCTTTCAGTTCTTCGAATTCATTTCCTTTATTGCTGTAGGAGAACGATATGCTAAATTAAATAAATTTTATTTTGTAAATCAAAATTATTTACAAATTATCTGGGACCAGATTATCTTTCGTGACACAATCGGATAGATTGCCAGAGTGTGAGATACCAAATTCCAATAAGATTTGACCTTCATTCTTTGTAACCAAATCAACAGAACAGCCAAACTCAGTCGTGCTGGAATTTTTGGAGTACGAAAGAATGCTGTTAAATGAGGGGATTTAAATAAATTAATGTAAAAATATTTGCATATTTCCATCGTCGTCCAAAGTGACATCACAAGCGCCCTCCAGCTTCCTGTATTGTTCAAGATCCGTGTCGTTTTCGGCAATCCTCGTATTGTTCTTGAGCTCAATAATTGTCTCGTTAACCAACACATGCTTGCCAAGTCCGACTTCTTCACATTGAACAACAAATCCGAAAACCAGAGGAATTGAAATGCACAGAACGATGGAGGAGGCAGAGACCATTTGAAGTGTATTTAAAATGAAAACTCGAATCCCGACTGAATTGACGTTGATTTAGAAGAAAAGCACGTTGATCTATGTAGCAATTGGAGAATGATTTGGTAGAATGTTAAGCTTTTATAGTATGTTTTCAGTGTTCATATTAGAATTGAATATTGAAAATTCGCATTTTTAGACACATACAAAATTTACGTTAAAACCTAGAAAGATTTTTGCATTTTTTTATATTTACATTACCGTAATTTATTGCATTCATTCTAATTAGAGTAAGACGAGTTCGAGCGGATTCGAGTATACTCGACTCGATCGCTCGGATTTTTTTGTTTTAATACTCGATTTAATCGTACTCGAAATATGGGTTTTCAAACTCCCATTACTCGAACTCGGGTTTCCCCCAATTACTCGGTACTCGACTTACTCTAATTCTATTTATTTATGAATGGAGACAAAACATATGCTAATTATTTTTTAACTGATTGGATCCGTAAGCGAATAAAGTCAAAATGAGGAAGAAAAGAGCTGATTAAATTCAAAATTCCAAAATTTATTTACGTATTAACTTAATAAAATACAACAAATAACAACAATATCAACAAAAAATAACAACAACAAAAATACATCTAATAATTTATATATTATTCTTCCACTTCTTTATTACCCTTCATTAACACTATCAGTAATTTCAACGTCAGATTGTGTATTATGAATAAGCGGATCTTCTTTCCCAACGAGGTCCTCATCAACAGTATTTGTGCTAACCAAAGCATCAGGAACAGTCTTGCCAGATTTTACAGAAAAATCGTTGTCGTGCTTTACTTCAATACAAGTTTTTGTGTCGAGAAAAGTATCAGGAACTCCAACACAAGTTTTCGTACCTACAGAAGTATCAGGAAGTGCAATACAAGTTTTGAGGTTAGAAGCTTCTTCCGGTTGTTCCATTTGTGTAGCCACAACAGAGTTAACATCGTTAAAGTCTTGATATTGAGTTTCGACGACTGTAGAAGCATCATTAAAATGTTTTTCTTCTCCCTTCTGTTCTTTTCCAGATACATGGGAAGGCATTTCAACGTCAACATTGGAGTCCTTTGTAGGTTTATTTGTAGTTGATTGAGTTGAACGTACATTAGTGCCCTGACTGTATTTAGTGCCTTCATTTTCTTTTTCTTCTTCTTTTTCTCCTCGAAACAGAATACAAATCAGAACGCAAACAAAACTTGTCAAACACCTGAAAATTTAAAATAGATGCGAATTTTATCTGAGAAAACTCACAAAACTATAACGCCACAAATAATCACAACAATGATAATTTTAGACATTCCTGAAGACTCTGTAGCAGTTGGAATCCTTGTAACTTCTACTTCATCACTAGTAGTGTCTACCTCTTCTGTAGTGATGATTTTTAGAGATTGGGTTGTTGAAACATCCAAAGTTTCGTTGGCATCTGTTGAAGTGCCATTTTTTGCGACTTGAACTTCCGGCACAAGAATTTTGAAGTGTTCTTTGTCCTTAAAATATTTTTATTTTATGAGGGAAGAGGAAATTTCCTTACAAATTTAATGCTTATATTGTCACATTTCAACAATGTTGCGTCCTTATCACAGCCTGGTTCTGCTGGATTTTTCTTACAGCCTCCCAAAAGGTTTTGCATACTTTGACGCATCGCTTTTATTGGCATAATGTTGAAAGTGAAGAGATGGGTGAAGTTTTTATCGTTGGTGTTGTTCTGGTAATTATTGTCCACAATCTCCCACTTTTCGGCTTTGAGATGTTTTTCCTCCTTGTAGCACCACGTATTGGAAAAATTAAAAAATTTCCGGTCATCTGCAAAACGGAATTTTTGCCCTTTAATCATAAGGTATATCGGCGATACTTTCTGTGTAGTATATGCAGAATAAAATCTTGGATCACCAACTAAGTTTTAAAATATTAGAAACGTATATGAGAGAGTTTGCTACCTGGAAGCAATACGCATCTATATTTTGATTCATCTGTTAGCAGCCATACAACAGAATAAAACGCTTTTGTTCTTATACAATTACCCCTTTTCTCGCACATTAGCTTATTTCTACAGTCACTGCTATTACCAGATTTAGGACCTTCTTTGAGCTCTTCGAATTCACTTTGATTCAAGCTATAGGAAAATGATATCCTGAATAAAATAAATTTGTTTTTTACAAGTTATATGTATATGTACATGTTATCAGAATTATGAGTGATACACTCGGATAGATCGCCAGAGTGTGAAATACCAAATTCCAATAAGATTTGCTCTTCTTTCGTTGTAACCAAATCAACAGAACAGCCAAACTCAGTCGTGTTGGAATTTTTGGAGTATGTAAGAATGCTGTTAAATGAGGGGATTTAAATAAATTAATGTAAAAATATTTACATATTTCCATCGTTGTCCAAAGTGACATCACAAGCGCCATCCAGCTTCCTGTATTGTTCAAGATCCGTGTCGTTTTCGGCAATCCTCGTATTGTTTTTGAGCTCAATAATTGTCTCGTTAACCAACACATGCTTGCCAAGCCCGACTTCTTCACATTGAACAACAAATCCGAAAGCCAAAAGAATTGAAATGCACAGAACGATGGAGGCAGACACCATTCCAAAAGTGTTTGAATTGCAAATTCGCATCACGACTAAATTGAAGCTGCCGACTAAGAAAAAACGTTGATCTATGTAAGAATTTGAGAATGATTTGGTAGAATATTTAGCTTTTATATGATTATATAGTCTAATAATAATTAAGTCTACTCTCCTACTTTTTATTGAAATTGTTACAGATCGGAACTGTTCGACATGGACGAAGTCAGTCTCATCATAGATACATATTAACTGGTAAAATTCAGTTTACAAAAAATTCCGAAATAAATACTACTTGACTTTCGTGCGGAAAAAAGCATAGGGCCAAGCAAAAAAATTAAAAATACCATTATTTGTTCTCGATGAAGATTTAAAGATTTCTATTTTCTTTTCTGCTTAGTATCGATAGAAATTCTTATGCAAATTTTTACAGAATTTTAAGATAATTGGACGATAATAAAATGACTGATATTAAAAGGAAAAATGGATGAAAAATGGATGTTAACAAAAAATGGACGAAAATAATCAAAATCGGCAAGCACGCCAAAACAAAACGCCAAAAATCGGTCTAAAATGGAACCAAACGCCATAATGCTCAGCCTTGACCATGAACCTGCAAGTATTTCCCGGCTATTTTTTCTTAGATTTTTATTTAAAAAATTTCGAAAATTATCTTCTATATTATTGTACTTTTTAAGATTTCGCAGGTCTTTTTCTTTCGAAACAGCTCTGTTCCAGAATGAGGTAATTGCACATTAAAAGGTAGTTAACAATTGAGTAAGGTTTTAGAGGTTGATAGACAAAAAATTAAAGTCAAAAATTTCCATTTTTAGACAAGCAAGTAAAATTTTGGGTTCATTTTACTGCTTAGAGGGCATAAGCATGTCGTAAGTGAAATTGAGTAAGAAAAAAATTGTAATACGAAATTAAAAATTACCAAATTTATTTACATAACAGCATAAATGAAATACAACAAATTTTTGCATACATACAGATTATATATCAACAAAAATATACTATCTACTAATTTATATATTATTCTTCCACTTCAATATTAATCTTCATTAACACTATCAGGAACTTCCACGCCAGATTTTGCATTATGAATAATCGGATCTTCTGCAACAACGAGGTCTTCATGAACAGTATTTGTGCTAATCAAAGTATCAGGAACAGTTACGTCAGATTTTACAGAAAAATCGTTGTCGTGCTTAGCACCAATGCCTTCCTCCATATCAATAAAAGAATCAGGGACTACAACTCCAGTTTTGGCATTAGAGGGTTCTCCCGGTTCGATTTGTGTATTTTCAACAGTGTCGACATCGTTGAAGTCTGGTTTTTCTTCTTCTTTTTGTTCTTTACTTTCTTCTTTAGCAGTAGCAACAGGTGGCACTTCAACGTCAACATTGGAGTCTGTTGTTGTAGACATATTTGTAGTTGATTGAGTTGAATGTGGATTACTGTATTGACTTTCTTCTTGTTTACTTTGTCCGTTTTCTTCCTTCTTTCGTCGAAACAAAGTGCAAAACACAACAACAATGCTTACAAAAACCCTGAAAATTTAAAAGAGATGTGAATTTTATCCAAGAAAACTCACAAAATTACAATGACAGAAATAATAAACACAATGGTAGTTGTAGACATTTTTGAAGGCTCGGTAGCTGGTGACGTCTTTGTATCGATAGTAGGTGATGTCCTTGTAACCTCTATACTGTTTGTAGTTGTAGTGTCTACTAATTCACTTGTAGTGTCCATATTTTGTGTTGTTGAAACAGACAAATTTTTGTTCCCATCTGTTGAAGTACCATTTTGTCCGTTTTCTTCTTTCTTTCCTTCTGCGACTTGAACTTCCGGGACAAGAATTCTGAAGTGTTCTTTGTCCTTAAAATATTTTTATTTTATGAGAAAGGAGGAAAGTTCCTTACAAATCGAATGAACATTTTGTCACATTTCAACATTGTTGCTTCTTTACTACAGCCTGGATTTGTCACATTTCCATTACAGCCTGCCCAAGTATTCTGTAAACTTTGTCGCATTGCTTTTATTGGCATAATATGGAAAGTGAAGAGATGGGTGAAATTTTGATCGTTGGTGTTGTTGATGTAATTATTGTCCACAATCTTCCATTCTTTTAGTATGCGATGTTTTTCCTCTTTGTAGCACACAGTTGACTGATTAAGAATTACATGACCTGAAAGAAATTCCAATTCTTTCCCTCTGATCGAAAGCTTGAATGACGCATCCTTAGATGATGCATTCGTCAGAAGTACACCGGCTTTACTTACAATATCACCAACTGTATTTTAAAAAATATAAAATGCTTTAAAAAAATTTTGTTACCGGGCTGCAAGAAGAATGTAAAATAAATTGATTCTAGTGGCATTAATCCAATGAGTAGAAGGCTGTTGTTTTCAGACAATTACTCCTATACCTCTCGCATGTTATCTTATCACTACAATCACTATTATCACCCGATTTAGGACCATCTTTGAGGTCTTCAAATTCGCCTCCTTTATTGCTGTAGGAGAACGATATGCTAAATTAAATAAATTTAATTTCGTAAATCGAAATTATTTACAAATTATCTGGGACTTTTTTATCTGGGATTTATTTAATAAAAGCTTCACCCTTCCAAATAGAATTTCCAATTTTTGAGCCCCAAACCTACCCACTAAAAAACCTACCTACCCACACTTTAATTAAATTTACCTAATAAATTTAAAATAATAATTAAAACCTCCATAAAATATTTATTATTTTATTAAACTCAAAAAATGTCGGGAGTCGGGCGTTCCCGACAAATGGTTTGGAAGAGTTGAGGAGTCGTGGCACCAGCTAGTGAAGTGTGGCACTAGCACCAGACTGTGTTGGTAGTGCCAACACAGTCGAAGGAAGAAGAAGGGCAGTAGAGTGACTCGGAGCACGAGTCACTTTAGCCAGAGAATAGCAGTGGTGGACGGTAGTGCCGTTCACCAAGGAAGCAGAAGTGAACGGAGCACGTTCACTTTTAGTACGCCAACAAACACACAAGTCCACCAACAAATAAATTTATTTCTCCAAATAGCAATAAACAATTTAAGCGAAGAGCCAGCTAGGGCTAAGGGTAATTGAACACAAAGCAAGTAAGGCCAGCTAGGGCCAGAAGCAGTGAAGCGAAGGGCTAACCAGTGGGCAATGGCAGTTGAAGCCAAAGAGCAGACCACTGGAAGCAGCAGATCAGCCAATTGAAGGAGCAGTTAATGATGTAGAAGTGAGATAATTTGGGGGGCTGATCTCCTGCTTAAATAGACACAAATAAAGGCGGGGTTTGGCAATAAAATAATTTAAAAATGTAAGTTTGAAAAAATTGCGCGAAGTAGCTAGAGAAATAAAAAACTGAGAGAAGACTCGGCAAGAGAAGCCAAGTCAAAAAACAAAAGGAAAAATAAGTAAGAGAACGGAGGGCGGCTGGCACGAACGGACACAAAAAATAAAGGAAAGGAATTTAGGCGGGCAAATAAGTTTGAAAAAGGAGAGTGGACGACAAAAAATTAACAGTGAACGAGCAAAAAATTAACCAAAATGTGGACGGGTAAAAAAGTGATCAAAAGTCGCCAATGTTTGGCGACAAAAAATATTAGTCCAATTATTTCCACTAAAATTATTTTTATTTTTCTTACACTATTACATTAACGGACAAATATTTTTAAAACTTTTTACAAACAATTTTACAACAATAATTTCTTCCCTTTTTTATTTTAAAAATAATTTAAAAGGAAATAAAAACCTATAAACGTATTTATTTTTATTAAAATTTCAACAAAAATAATTTTTTAATTTAAAAATATGTTAGCACAACAAGCTGTCTTTATAAGTTTAATTATTATTTTGTTTTTTATTATGATGATAATTGATGAAATTGGAGGTTAAATATTTAATAATTTTTTTTTAAATATTTTTATCAATTCAAAATTTAACAAAACAAAATTAATCTTAAATATTTTTTGAATTTCCATTAAAACCCGAAGGAAATTTTGCTTAAATCTGAATACCGTAAATGCTTGAATAAATACTAGGGTTTCGCCGGAAGTTCCGGTTCCGGTTCCGGGTTCCGGAAGTTCCGGTGTTTTTTTGGTTCCGGTTCCGGTTCCGGGAACCGGAACTCAAATTGGTTCCGGTTCCGGCTCCGATTTACAAATCGGTTCCGGCCAAACCGGAACTTTTTTACACCCCTAAGGATTGATTTTTTTAAAAATATGGGTTGGCCTTCCCCGGTTGGCCTTGCAATATTCTTAAAATTTTCGCCTGCGGCGCCAGAAAAGGAAGAAATCTAGCTCCTTGTCCTCACAAATTCTTAAAATTTTCGCCTGCTGCGCCAGAAAATGAAGAAATCTGGCTTCTTGTCCTTCTAAATTGTCAAAATTTTCGCCTGCGGCGCTGTAAAAGGAAGTTTAATGGTATATCGTAATTCGAAGAAATTCGGGTATCAAAGGGGATATAATGTAATTGGTGGGGTATCGGACATATCAGGGGATTTTGGTAGTTCGGTTCGGTTTTTTGGTTCGGTTTGTCTGTTCTCGGTCGGTTAATCAAAGGTATCGGTTCGGTTAGTCGGTTCTGTTTCGGTTAACCGAAGAATTGTTTGAACCGACAACCCTACATAACCTGCAAATTTTTTAAAATTTTCTAGCAAAAAATTTTTTAAAAGTTCCGGTTCCGGTTCCGGGCCGGAACTTTGAAAAGTTCCGGTTCCGGTTCCGGGAACCGGAACTCAAATTGGATCCGGTTCCGGTTCCGGTTCCGGTCAAAATTTCGGTTCCGGCGAAACCCTAATAAATACTCTCTCTCAATTAATTGCCCTTCCTATTAATTACGCCATCTAGCGAGAGGTTGAAACAATAATTACCCCCAGGGTAATTATTCGAGCATTTACGGTACATTGAATCTTGTTTCTTAAAAAATGTAACGTAAAAAAATGTAACGTTTCCCTATCCTGTTGCGATCAAATTAAAAAAAGTATTATTTCAAATTAGGGTGTTGAAATTGAGGTTTTAAATATATTATAAAAATAAGTTCTGATTTTATTTAAATTAATATGACTGTATTATTTAATTTTAAAATTATTTTATCAATTAATTTTATTTTTAGCTCCATACTGCAACGACAAAAAAGATTGTGCCCCTCTTGCTATACTTCATGGGGCAAATTGTGTTAAACATCGATGCGCGCCATAAATGAAAAAAAATATTTTAGTAATAAATATATTTTAAATAATATATTTTAAAATTTTTATATACATTTTGATAAAAGTAAAAAAATTTTAATTAAAAAAATTCTATGTATTGGAATAAGTGCAAAAGATAATTACTAGGGTTGTCCTTTCTAAAACACAAAAATAGGGCGTAGCCACTCAAAAATAGAGCAAAAATATGGTGAAGTCGACCAAAAATAGGGCATTATTTTAAAACATAGGGCTTGGATCCATGCAGAAAATTTCGAGATTTTGGAAGGCTGTAGAGAAAAATGACATAGAAATTACAAGAAAATATAAAGAAACTCCTCACAGAGCTGTCTCTGAATAAAAAATTCAAAAAAAATGAAAAAGGAGACGAACCGAAAAGTTAGTATATCCGAATTCGAAACTGAATGATAATCACTAAACTGCAAAATTTAACCAAATACGGCTGCAACTCAAAACTGTTACAGAATCCAAAAGAAAGCAAAAGACTTGAAAATAAATTAACTACCTATTACCAATTTGTATTTTTAAAACTTTTATTCATTTTTTGCCATTGTGATATTTTTGGAGTGATTTTTGCATTTCTGTGATTGTATTTTAACACAATTATTTTGTTTAAATTTATTTTAATTAAACATAATTAGAATAAATTATTTTAAAATTATTTAAAAATAAAGGGAAGTATGTATATGTATATTAACTGAAAGAAAGCTACATTCAAAGAAAATATTAAAGTGTATTTAATTATCTATAAATTCAAAAAATTCTTCAATCATTTAAGGACACGAGTCGTTATCACATTTTCCACCACAGCATGGCAACGAACTACATGCAACACCTTTAGCAACACATGCGCGACAAGTAGTTTTGTCACAGAAAGCTCCGTAGCAACATCCGGCGTTGTTAAAACATTTATTATTTGGTCCAGCAGGAGTACATTTTCCATTTTTAACACATTTATAAGTATATTTTCCTGTTTGTTTGCAAATAGAGCCTTCTACGCATGGGTTGCCATCATGCACGTCATTGTCGCAGCCTTCACTAAACGTAGCATATTGGAATAATAATAATGAAAATAAAAAAAGAATATTTATTGAAGACATTTTTTGAATAAATTTAAAATTTAATTTTTAATAATAAACAAAAATATGCTAAAATAAAAAAATATTTTTAATAAATTAAATATTTGAATAAAAATTAAATATAAATATTATTAAAAAAGTAAGGACAAAGATTTCTAAAGAATTGAATTTTAATTAAATAAATTATTAAATTTATTTAATAAAGCTTTTTTATATTTTTTGAGAGATAAAATAATAAATTTAAATGAAACTTTTCTATTGAAATATTTTTGCAAAAAAATTTTATTATCTTTTTTTTATTATTTTTTACACTTTTTGGGAAACTTTTTGTTTATTTAATTCTGAAAATAAATATATTTATAAAATTTTTTGTAAATGTTAAAATATTTACTGATTGTTTATATTCAATAAATTTTTTTGACGAATCCGTGGTAAATAATTGAAGAATATTTAAAAATATTAAAGCGCTAAATTTTGTATGGTAAAATAAAAGTGAATCAAGTTGTAGTTATATTTGAGTTATATGTTTTAGTATTATAGAGCAGAGAAGAATCCAGCTGGCTTGGAGCTAAAGCGTTTAATAGGCGGAGGTCTGAGATCTACTAAAAGGGAACGTTTAAAGCAGCGCCCCGGTAGCTTAACAGTAGAGTGCCTGTACGTGGTGAGCGACTGAATTTAGCAATAACTGGCAGGAAGTCGCAAACTTCTGTATGTGTAAATAAACTTTTAGTTGAATGCAATAAACATTATATTTAGTTATCTCATTTATATAGATGGACTTTCTTGCAATTTCATCATTTTATACACTTTTAAGAATAAATTAATTTATAAAATATTTTTCTAATAAACTTTTTCTAAACTTTGGAGATTATTTTTGCAGCAAAAATTATTTCATAAAATTTATTTTTGTTGTATTTATAACATTTCAACATTGGTTATTGAGTAAATTTTATTAGAATAAATTTTTTGACTTTATTATTCGAGAGAGACATTTTTTTAGATTTTAGCTACAGTTATGGAAAAAAGACAGGAGCGAAGACAGATTTGCATATTTAAATATTTTTTTAATTTTTATTTTATCGATAAAATAGTTTCTAAAAATCTTTTTTCATTCTTTGTATTTTAAAATAAAAAGACAGCAGAAAATTTTGCCCAAAATTTCAGACCCACCGTTTGTATCTTCATTTTAATAAGAGATTGGTCGGAATTCCGATCTCCTAAATCCCGATAAAATTTCCTATTTAAGATCATTTTTAAAGCATTGTTCCTACTGAAAATTTTGCCTAAATTCTCAAAATGTTCGTCAGTTTGAGAATCTCTGGTTTTTTGGCCTCCATAAATGATAAATTAATTTTGCTTTTCTAATTTAAAATTTTAATTTAGTAAAACAACAAGAATTAAATTGGATGCCTGTATGTGGATTTGGAGTGATTAAAGGGGGGATTGAGGTGTTGGGAGTGATATACATCAAAAGTGATTTAAGAGGATCAAAAGTGATTAAGGAGGACAACGATTTTGTGATATTGTATTTTAGAATAAAAAGACAGCAGAAAATTTATTTCTCATTATTATTAAACTTATAGTTTTTTGAAACCCAAAATTTTCAATCAAAGCGATTCTATAAAATTCTACGAAAAACAAATTAGATAAATTTTTTATTTCACAATTTTTGTTTAGTAGAATTTTAGCAAGCTCCATCCTTAATTTGATTATTCTACCCATTCTTTGTTTGCTTGCTTAAAAGAAATTTACCAAAATATTGCATGTGATATTCATTTAAACGTTTAAAGATTATAAATTAATTTATCTAAACGAATTTTAAAAAGCAAAATTTAATTTTTTTTGCAAAATAATAAAATTTTATTACTAAATTTTTTCAAAAGTTGATGATTTTTTTGCTAAAAATAATTTTTGTTTGTAATCTTTGGTTATTATTTTATAAAATTTTAGATTTTTAAAATAAAGTTTATCTCTGTGAAGGATATTACAAGATCCGTATATTAAGCAATATCCTCGGGATGCAGTTATAATTGAATTGGAGTTTAATTTATACTAATTAATTGCTAATATTTCAGGTATAACTGCTATTTTAAATAATTTCGAAGAATTAATTTTGTCATTATTTTGGTAACAATAATAGATTAAATGAACCAATTTTTGCATATATTTGTGCGCATTTTGCGATTTTAAATGCATACTATTTTGTCTAGACTATTTATAACAGATTATAAATATTTAAAAAGAAGTTGTGATTTTCGAGGAAGGCCTCTAAACAAGTCTAGAATAACAGAGCTTATTTTATAAAAAAAAAATTATATTTCAAAATTTAAAGCACTAGAAAAATTAATTTTTAGTTTTTAGTAAAATTTAAAATTCAATATTTTTTAAATTTAAAAAAATAGCAAATAATCATGAGGGTAAACTTTGAGCTTTTCTAAAAATAATTTTAGAAGGGTGATAAACAAAATATTGCGAATTAAAAAATTATTTATTTTAGCAAAACATAAATAAATACACCAATTTTTATAAAACAAATAATGATTTATGGATTTATTTTATTTAAAAAAATTTAAATATTCCCAAAATTTATTAAATTAAATATTTTTTTATTTTATAAAATTTCTCAAATTTTTTCTAAATTATTTTAAATTTAAATTTAAAAATAAAATTTATTTTATTTAAGAATAAATATTCTATCATTTTAAAATTAATTTCTTCTTCGAGCTCGTTTATTGTTTTGCTATCGTTTTGTTTTAGCTAATCTAAAAAAAACTAATAATTAGAAATAGCTTTAAAGCCTTTAAACATTAATTAAAAACAACAAAATTTGTTTTTCTTTTTTTTAAACTTTAGATAAGATAGAAAACTTTACTAAAAATCCAAATAAATGCCTTTTTCAATTAAAATTTGTTTTTTATTTTTCTTAACAACTTCAATAATAATTCAATTAATCAACAGCGACTGTAGAAAGACCGGATTTCTAGGTTGTGATGAAGACGAGCATAAATGTTGTGATAGTGATGCTACCTGCACTGCAATTAATAACACAACAACATGTAAAACTGGTGATTGTAAAGCTGTTGGGGAAGATTGTGGGGATAACAAAAATTGTTGTGGAAATTTGCTTTGCGGGCAAAGTAATTTATGTGAATGTCCAGATATAGGAAATAATTGTGTTCAAGATTCACAGTGCTGCGGAAATTATTGTATGGATGATATGAAATGTCATTGAATGAATTGATATATTTTTAAAATTTAATTGAATTTATTTTCCTATCATCTACTAAATATTTATTTCTTTTTAAATTAAATTTAATTTTTCTTTATTTATTTATGAAGTAAAGCAGATGGGCTATAGCTATTTCTCTCCTTTAGCTAGTGCAAAGGGTTATTCGGCGGTAGACCGGATTGATGTGTTATCCATTACACCACGCCGCCTACTGCACAGCTTAGAAATTAATGCTTTACACCTCCATCCCCATGGAAGTCTATACATCCCTTCTACCCCTCGCTTTAAAAATGTTTTAAGATTAAAAGAAATAATTGGTGATAACAAAAAACTCTAAGTAATTTGAAGTTATAGAAAAAATCTAAATATTTTTATTATTTGGCATATGGTAACTTAAGACCGTCTTTGAAACAGTCTTAAGTTATAAAATTATACGAAAAACAAATTAGAAAAAATTTTTATTTAACAATTTTTGTTTATAAGTATTTTAGCAAGCTTAATCCATTATTTGTTTATTGTACCAATTTTTTGTATGTTTATTTTAAAAAAATTTACCAAAATATTGTATGTGATATTCATTTAAATTAGGGTTGTTGGCGGACGGTTAACCGAACCGGAACCGTTAACCGGTGTTTTTGGCGAATTAACCGGAACCGAAAACCGGGGGTCGAAAACCGGCGATAACCGAAAACCGGTGACCAAAACCGCCCGGTTTCGGTTTTAAAGATACACCCCTAAAGATGGAATTTTTTGTGATTTTTAGGACATTTTAACTCCCAAAATATAGTTCACCAAATTATTTCCTTCCTTTTCTTTTTCGATAAATATAATTTCTTTCAGATTTAGTACTTTAGAAGTGTGGTTAAGTGGTTTAGTTGATGAATTTTACTCGATAAAGGTGCCTTTATTTCGAGTTTTTTTTCGGGCTTGTTTTTATCAAGTCGGGCCTATACGAGTCTTTTCCGTGCCAAATATTTTTTCTTGCCAATATCTTTCGGTCCGAGTCGGGCCATTTTGGCAATCCTACTTTTAAATCTAATCCATTCGAATTAATTGATGTGTGGCCTTTTTTCAACAGTGTGGCCCTTTTGCCAACTTTAGGAGGCATTTGCCCACTTTTTGATTTTTTCGCCCACTTTTTTACATTGCCCCTTTTTGCCCATTTTTGCCCTTTTCCGAAAAAAGCAAGAAATTTTACATAGAAGCCTTCCAAAATTTTCAAAATTTTCGCCTGCGGCGCAAAAATGAGATTTTCGCCTTAATATTCTGTGGGTCGAGGTTCAAATCCATGATCGGACGTACAAATCTTTCGACTACGCCTCTTAATCACAATTATTTATCAACTCCATTGATAACTTCTCATCCTCTTAATCCCCGATCATCGATATTAATCCACCCACCGATCATCGATATACTCTAATCCCTCTACCCTCCTAATATTCAAAATCAGCCAGCTTTATCTTGCTTTATACCCTTTTATTCCTCAAATTGTTGACATTTGTAAATTATTCAGCTCCTAGTGTATCGAATATTTATTTAAAAGCGTTAGAATGTGACAACATCTTAATGGGATATTCTGGATGAAAATTTGTCCAAAAACCGGTCCCGGTTAACCAAAAACCGGGGGTAAATCAAAAACCGGAACCGAAAACCGGGGGTCGAAAACCGGCGATAACCGAAAACCGAGGGTACCGGTTAATAACCGGTCGCCAACAACCCTAATTTAAATGTTTAAAGATTATAGAATTTTAAAATTAAATTTAATTTTTTTGCAGAATAAATAAAATATTTAGATTTTATTTTTAAATTTTTTTTCAAAAGTTGATGATTTTTTGCTTAAAATAATTTTTGTTTATTATTCTATAAAATTTTATTTTATATTTTTAAAATACAGAATATCTTTCTGAAAGATAATATGTATAAAATCCGTATATTAACCTAGGATCGGGATACAGTTTTAATTGAATTTGAGTTTAATTTGTATCAAAATTAATTTTTATATTTCAGTTAAATTCTGTATAATTCGAATAATTCTGAAGAATTAATTTTTATCATTATTTTGTCATATAAGTAAATACATCTAAACAAGTCTAGAATAACAAAGCTTATTTTATAAAATAAAATAATATTTCAAAATTTAAAGCTCTAGAAAAATTAATTTTTAATTCTTGTTTTGCTTTATGTCAATACCTTTAATCAAAAAAAATAATAATTTTTGATTTTTTCTAATATTTAAAATTCAATATTTAAATAAAAAAATAAAAAAAAAATAAGCAAATAATCATGAGGGTAAACTTTGAGCTTTTCTAAAAATATTTTTAGAAGGGTGATAAACAAAGTATTGCGAATTAAAAATTATTTATTTTAGCAAAACAATTTTAATAAATTTTATTTTTTATTACACCAACTTTCATAAAACAAATAAACATTTATGGATTTATTTTATTTTATTTAAAAAAATTTAAATAATAATAAATTCCCAGAATTCATTAAATGAAAAATTTTTTTCTAACATTTCTTAAAATTGTTTTTTTGAAATTTTTTAATCAATAATTTAAAAATTAAATTTATTTTATTTAAGAATAAATTATTCTATTATTATTTTTGAAACAACTTCTATTTTTATTTTCTTTTTTGAATTTTAATAATTTTTACTTTTTAAATTAATCTTTAAAATTAAATATTATAGTAAATCAAAATTTAGAAAAAATAGAGTAATTCCTGATTTAGTTAAGAATAAAGTAGGGTAGCTAGGCTATAGATTTTCTCTAGAAAATTTCGGGTCTGAATCCGGATATCCGAAGATTTCCAACTATCCGAGAATCTTATCAATTAGAACTTATTTGATTAGTCAAGTATAAGTTATCTTGAAAATAAAATAAAGATATTAGAAAATTCTAGACAAAAGACAAAATACAAAATTTTTTTACCTTTACTAATATGGACACGATTGGAAATAAATTTTTGTATTTTGTGTTTAGTGATTATATGTACATTTTTGTGGATTATTTTTACATAAATTTATTCTTTACTCTTTTTATATATTTTATGACAATTTATTTAATTTATTTAAAGCTCTGACAAGAATTATTGAATTTCAGGCCTTTCCCCTTAAATAATCTTATCAGGTAAAATACTCCTGTTAAAAAACGCAAAAATGTAAATTTTGTTGAAATAATCGAAAAAATATTTTTCTATTTTATGTTTTTTTTTATAATTTTGTTGGAAAATATATTTCGATTCACAAACGTGTAAAATAAAAAAATTATTAGAAGGGGCAAATATATAAATAAAGTAAATATTTTAGTATTATTTGACTCAATTCGAAGAGATAATTGCTTAACAATTGCTTAATTCAATTTTTACTCAAAACTTTACTTAACAATTCCTCTCTTTTTTAATTGTTTTGATTAGTTTTGCCAAAAAAGTTTATTGTCGCTTAAAAGAATTAATAATTTAAAATAGCTTTAAACTCTTTTCTGAATTTTAGATAACACCAAAAACTTTACTAAAAAATCCTAATAAATGTCTTTTTCCATCAAAATTTGCTTTATATTTTTATTAACAACTTCAATATTAATTCAATTAATCAACAGTGAATGTGTTCGAACAGGATTTCCAAATTGCGATAAAAACAAATGTTGTAATAAGAAGGATATCTGTACATCAATTAAAAATAAAAAAATATGTAAATCGAGTAAATGCCAAGCTGTGGGAGAAGAATGTCTAAAAAATTGTTGCGAAAATTTGATTTGTGGAACAGACAATAAATGTAAATGCCAAGCTGTGGGAAAAGTTTGTGTTGAAGATTCACAGTGCTGTGGGAATTATTGCGGCGATGATAATAAATGTCATTAAATGAATTGATATAGTTTAAAATTTAATTGAATTTATTTTAAGTTCTTTTTAAATTAGATTTTCATTTTTTTATTTATTAGAGTACTACATATGACAATTTCATTAATTGTTTTTCATTAAATATTTTTTAATTTGTATACCAAGCTTTAATTTGAAAGAGTCTGTAGGAGGTCAGTTAATAAGTAGCTAAAAACAGTTCAGAAACGGACACTCATTTGTCAGTTTACAATTTTTTAATTTCTTAAAAATCGGTTCGGGTTTTAAATATTGTTTTACTTAGTGAATTTAAAAATATTTAGACATTTCTGGTTTATGTTCAGATAAGAAAAAAGTATATATTTTCATAACAAAAAATTATCGAAAATCTCAAATAAAAAAAAAGTTAAAAATTATCAACATTGGAAATATTCTCTCAAAACTTTTAAATCAAAAATCAACAAAAAAATAATCTAATCGAAAAATCAAAATATTTTTCCAAAATATTTTGATTTTAAATTTAAATATTTAAAGATAATTTACAAAAAATTATCTTTTTTGCGAATTATTTTTGATTGAGGTGTTATATTTTACTTACCTATATTATCTTACTTTTTACTTACGTACCAGAGTAATTATTGTTTCAACTTCTCACTTACATTTTTAAGATTAAAAAATTACTTAAACATTTAAGAATAGATAAATTTATGATGATTTTTCTATTAGCGCCAACCATTCTTATTTTTAAATTAACTTTATGGATACAAACTTTATTTAGATTTCAAATAAAATATGATATGTATAATATGAATTATAAAATTGGTGTTTTTTTAAAATCCATCAAAATTAATTAATTAAATCTCTAAAAATTTGTTGAATACATTTTTCTTCTATATTTAACATTTTCTCCACAATACAAATTTTTTAGTAAAAAATTTGACACATTTTCTACCTTGGCAACACTTAAGATCCTTGCCAGTGTCAACACATTTAATTCCTTTAGGAATACAACGAACTGCAAAAAAAAATTTTTTAAATTAAAATAGAAAACTTTACCAGCTGGACATCCACCACAATTAACATTATTAAATAAAAATAAAGTTAAAAATATAAAGAGAAAAATTTTAATGACTAATGACAACATTTTTTAAATTTATTTTTCTAATTCTGAAAATATTTTAATTAAATTTATACCAAGAGATATTTAGTTATTATAAAATATATGTAATCAACTCTAGCAATCTTTTGACTCACGTACCAAAATTCTTGCTTGAGTCCTGTACTCTTTCTTGGTCGATCAAAATCAAATTTTCCTAGCACCTCTTCCCAATAGTAAACTTACTTCCTCCAGATAATAACTAAATATTAAACGGATTTAGATTTTATTTAAATTTGGGGTACATAAATTTGGTGTGAGTAGGCATTAATTTTTAAAAATATATTTTATTATAAATTCGGTTAATTAAAATGATTTATTGCTTAACTCAACCTAACTGAATTTATATTGTCTAATCTGCACTTTTCACTTTAAGAATTTCCAAATAAACATCAAAGAATCCTTTACTTCAAATCTTATCTAAAATATTTAAACAACTGGGTATTTTAGAGGTAAAAGTTTTAAGTTAAGTACATAGTTCTAAAAATATTTTTTAGCTTCTATTTTATACTTTGCTTCTTCTATTTTCTATTTTTGTAAATAAATAGCAAGTTTTGCTAAATTTTATTTTTTGCTAAAATTTATTATTTTTTGTTTATTCATATTAAAACAAAATTCAAAGGCTCATGATTTATCAAATTAATGAAAAATAAAATTAATTTTATTTATTTATTGACTATTGCGAAATCTAACAGTCTTTTCTAAAAACAAGTAAAAAATCATTTTTATATTTTTAATATCCATAAACCAAAATTTCATTTTCTTTGATACCGATTTGATAACAGCTAAAATTTTTTTCGTTGATTGAGCGTTCTTGTGTTGAGCTTTTTTTTAAAATAAGAGTTTTGCCAAAATATTTCTTTAAAAAATTTTCCCATAAGATTTCATACAGATTTCTTAGTTTTTGGACAATGCTTTTTTGAACATTGGGAAAAATTGAAATTTTGCGAGCGCCGAATCTTTTGGAAAAGGTACAATAATATTTAAAAATTTAAACGGAAATAAAGTTATGATGAAATGAATAGTGCCCTGTTACTTTTAGGTCACCTTTTAAATTCATTCTTTCTCGTCAAGTTCATACACAGTTATTATTTTTACAACTCCATTTAATTATTTTTACAACAAAAAAAAATAAAAATTACACAGTCGACTTCTAGTACAAAATTGCGTTTTGGATATTTGATTTTGACAGTTCAGCTGCTTCTTTAATTGGTAAAAATTATTCAAAATTTAACCAAAAAATATACATATTATTAAAAATATAATGGATAACACACCTGTCCGATCAACTGAAAATGCTGGTTCGCTCCTAGCTGGTTCGCTCATAGCCGTCTAATCACAGCCTTTTGCATTAGCTGAAGGATAAATATTTGCATTAGCTGAAGCTCAGCTCTGCTTCACTTTACATATAATATTTTCCTACCTCTAAATATTTATTTAAATTAATTAGGGCTTATATTTGAATTAATCAAGTTAGCTTGAAAATAAAATAAAGATACTTATTAGAAAATTCTAGATAAATGACAAGATTTCATTGTTTAATTTATCGAGATTTTGCCGAGTAAATTTGAAAAATAAATTTAAAATATAATAGGAAAGAATTGAGAAATTTATTTTGTATAATTTTATGTAATCTTTTACCTTTACTAATATGGACATGATTGGAAATAAATATTTGTATTTTGTGTTTAGGGATTATATGTACATTTTTGTGGATTATTTCTACAAAAATTTATTCTTTACTCTTTTTAATATTTTATGACAATTTATTTAATTTATTTAAAGCTCTGACAAGAATTATTGAATTTCAGGCCTTTCCACTTAAATAATCTTATCACGTGAAATACTCCAACAAAATAGTCATCTGTTAAAAAACGCAATAATGTAAATTTTGTTGAAATAATTGAAAAAATATCTCTCTACATATTATATGTATTTTGGTGAATTTTGTTGAAAAATATATTTCGATTATGCCTGAAATTAACATATGTATGATATAATTTAAAAATAAAAATATTGTTAATTTATTCATAAACGTGTAAAACGGCAAAATTATTAGAAGGGGCAAATATAGTAGTATAAATAAAGTAAATATTTTAGGGTTATTCGACTCAATTCGAAGAGATAATAACTACAATAATTTTTATAAAATTGCTTAATTCAATTTTTTACCTAAAACTTAATTTAGCAATCCTCCTCTTTTTAATTTTTAAAAGACTAAAATTTTTTAACAAAAATTTTGTTAGCTATATTTATTTAAACTTGTTTTTAAAAGAATTATTTCTATATTGTTTTTAATTAAAAATAATTAAATTTTAGTTACCACTCAGTTATTCTTTATTATTAAGAGTTCCTATCAAGGATGGTGGTTCCGGGGAAATCTCCGGATATCCGGATATCCGAACCGAAATTTTCGGATATCCGAGGTTTTTTCGGTTCCGGATACCCGAAACCGCCAACCTTAGTTCCTATATCGAGTTTTTAATATACCTATAAGGAGTTTTGTATTCCTTTATAAAGAGAGGAATCGAAGAGAGAAATGAGAAATATTTAATATAGCAGCTCTTTTTTAAAAATTAATTATTTAATTTACCTAAAATTCACTTAAAATTAAAATAATTTTTTTCTTAGAATTTAAATAAATTCAAAAAATGTCTCCAATTAATATATTTCTCTTTATATTTTCAACTTGATTATTATTTAATTATGTCGCCAATAAATCCAATAAATGTATTGGTGAAGGGAAAAGTTGTATAAATGACGACCATAATGCGAATCCATGTTGTCAAAAACCAAAGAAATTATATTGCGTAGAAGATGTAAATGCAAAGGGTTATAAATGTTCAAAACAATCCTGTACTTACAAAGGGAATTGTGGTAAAAATGGTGGAAGTTGTTGCTATGGCTCTAAATGTAATAAATATGGGAAATGTCAAACATGTGCTGCTGGAGCATCTAGTTGCTCGACCTTTCCGTGTTGTGTTGGAACATGTGAGGATGGTTTTTGTCCCTAAAGGCTAACTCAATTTTGAAAGTTAGAAAATGACTTAGAAAACGAAATTTAAAAGAGAATTATTTTCTCGATAATACAAATTAATTTTTAAATATTTTATTTTAGTTAAAATTTGAATAAATAAATTTATAGTTTTTTTCAACTTTTTTAATTTAAAATTAAATTTAATAGAGATTTGAAATTATGAAAAATCTACATATTTTATTAACCGATTTTTGTGTGTAATATCTTTAATAGATTTAGAAAACCCCAAATAAAATAATTATATTTTATTATTATTAGACTAATTTTAAAACCCCCAATCTTTTACCAATTTAATTATTTAAATATTATCCCATTCATCATATGAATGTTCTCTAACTGGCTTCTTGTCAGCTTTATTATTTAAAATTTGTTGCCGTTCTTGTTGTGGTATTGGACTTTTACTTTCAGAAATACTTGATTGCTAAAATTATTTTGAATTAAATTTAAATTTTAAGAAAATCTGTTCTGTATGGGGCTAATTTGCAACAGAATTACTAAATATTTTAAAGCCTTTATCTTTTTAATTTTGTGAGGAGAAGAAACTTTTTATTATGTATATCTGATCTTATTTTAACTTAAGTGGCATTATTTATATCCCAATAACGTAATTATTAAATTATAAAAAATAAATATTAAATTACCTGCTCCTTTTCAAATTGCCAAGCTTCTAAATCACGCAAAGTCATTTGAACATAAGAAGCCATCTAAAAGTAGTATTTTTTTTAATTCTAAAAAAATCTATTTAAATTACATAATGTTGCTCCTCCATTCTTAAATATTTATTTAACATTTCTAAAGCAATTTCTTTTAATTCTGCCAAATTTAAAGCTTCACATTCCCCTACTAATTTAGCTAATTCATCTGGGAGTGAAGGAAGTGCTTAGAAAATTTTTTAAAATTTTCTAAAGAAAAAATTAATTTTTTTTACCTAAAGACCCAACAAATCTCTCCTTTTTAAACCTCAAATAAGCCAAAATATGTCTAAAAGTTTTTGAATCAGAATCAATAAAAACATTTCCTGCTCTATCTGTTGAAATTAAACGAACAGCTCCTGGTCTAAACCAATCGGCTAATTTACTTGAAGAATAATTTTTATTTAAATTATTTTTAGAAGTACTCAATTACCTTCTAGGATCTGCCAACATATCACTTCTACGAACCTGCAAAATTACTAACATAAATTTATTTTTCTTATGAATACTTTATTTCATACATATAATGCCCACATATACATATATTTATTTTGGCCATTATTTGTGGGCATTATTGGACTGGTCTATTATGTATATGTTGCATTTAAAACAGAAAATGCTTAATTAATCGGCTAGATTTATTTCGGGAGCTAGTTCGTCCAAAAATATTTATACACTCTTATAAGTATTTACAACATATTCCTCAACTTTTCCAGAATAAAATTATTTTTTTATCTCTCAATTATAAAGGCAAAATTGAATTTGCTTTTTATTATAAAACTTAATTCAAATCTATTCAATTGTGTATAAATAAACTATATATTTAAAAAATTTTTCACCGTATATTTTTTGCCTCCAACATTTATATTCTAAATTAAAAAAATATTTTTCTAAATTAATTATTTCTTGCCAAAATATCATCTGTGTGAACTCTCCCATTTTGAATTACACGTGTTCCATTTCCATATCCATGCATTGCTCGGCGTTCTGTCCCCAAAGTTCGGAGAATACTTCCACTTCCATAATAAGGTATTCCGCTACCTTCGTTTTCCTCTCCGAATTTAATTGAGGAACTCTTTAAAAAATTTAGAAAAATTTTGGAATGATATTGGGGATAAAGTAAAATTCTCTTATTTACCATGATTGGTAGAAATTTTGAAGAAATTTACTATATAGATTTATTAAAATTTAAATTTTTATTTTTTATTTATCAATTGAATGCTTGCTCAATTTAAATTTGTATGGAAAAATATAAGAATTCCGCCTACCAATTTCTCTTTAAATTTCTTTCTATTTCCTTTATATAAATTATTTTTTGTGTTCCTAAAAAATAATTTGTTATTAAATTTTATATAGAAATTCCAGCTGTGCCAAAAATAGAAAAAAATGTTCTAAATTTTAGTTTTACATAATAATTTTTTAAAAATATTAGAGAGGGGAAATACGTATTATTTAAAATAAAAAAGGGACAAAAGTTATAAATATTTTTTGAAATTAATTTTAAAACAAGACAATAATGTTGTTAATCACAATACTTGTTAATTGGATGTTTAATATCAGTAATTTATTAAAATTGCCTAGATTAATTAACGGATTTTGTTTATTCATATTTTTGCAATGAAACTACATATTTTTGCAACTAAATAGAGATGTTTGTAAAGGTGTCAGAAACCAGAAGAGTCGGAAAGCGAGTTCGAATTATTCCAACAAGCAAGACAGAGTATATAAAAGCTCGATACTCAATGACTTTATTCAACCTTAAATCCAATCCTTATATCATTCAACGTTCTTTTCTTCTGAATCATCAACCTGAATTTGGTCGGGATGCGAATTTGCAATTCAAACACTCTTGGAATGTTGATTGCCTCCTCCATCATTCGGTGCATTTCAATTCTTCTGGTTTTCGGATTTGTTGTTCAATGTGAAGAAGTCGGAATTGGCAAGCATGTGTTGGTTAACGAGACAATTATTGAGCTCAAGGACAATACGAGGATTGCCGAAAACGACACGGATCTTGAACAATACAGGAAGCTGCCGGGAGCTTGTGATGTCACTTTGGACAACGATGGAAATATGTAAATATTTTTACATTAATTTATTTAAATCCCCTCATTTAACAGCATTCTTTCGTACTCCAAAAATTCCAGCACGACTGAGTTTGGCTGCTCCATTGATTTGGTTACAAAGAATGAAGGTCAAATCTCAATGGAATTTGGAATCTCACACTCTGGCAATCTATCCGATTGTATCACGAAAGAAAATCAAGTCCCGGATAATTTGTAAATAAATTTTGATTTACGAAATTAAATTTATTTAATTTAGCATATCGTTCTCCTACAGCAATAAAGGAGGTGAATTCGAAGAACTTAAAAATGGCCCTAAAACAGGTGATGACAGTGACTGTAGTGATAAGAATATCTGCATTGCTCATGGAGGCGCTTGCAGAAATTCAACAGCTTTCTATTCTGTTGGATGGATGCCAGATCAATCAGTTTTAACCGAAAGCTTTACTTACTCTTTACAGCCAGGTAAAAAAATTTATAAACGTAGTATTTTTTTATGATTTAGTTGGAGATGTACATTACATATATGTGATGGGCAGTATGAAGAACGAGACATTAACACTTTTGATTAAAGAATTAGAATTACGCTTTCCTGAAGTAGATGTTCGGCTAGAACATATTTGCTACAAAAAGGAAAAACTTCAAAAGGCCGAAGAATGGCAGATTGTGGACAATATTTATATCAAGGATATCAAAAATCAAAACTTCACCCATCTCTTCACTTTCCATATTATGCCAATAAAAGCGATGCGTCAAAGTATGCAAAACTTTTGGGGAGACTGTAAGAACAATGAGCCAAAACCAGGCTGTGATAAAGAAGCAACATTGCTGAAATGTGACAAAATGTTTGTTAAATTTGTAAGGAACTTTCCTTTTTATCAAATAAAATAAAAATATTTTAAGGACAAAGAACACTTCAAAATTCTTGTTCCGAATGTTTTAGTAGCAGAAAATGGTACTTCAACAGATGGGAACAAAAATTTGTCTGTTTCAACAACACAAAATATGGACACTACAAGTGAATTAGTAGACACTACAACTACAAACAGTATAGAGGTTACAAAGACGTCACCTACTATCGATACAAAGACGTCACCTGCTACCGGGCCTTCAAGAATGTCTACAACTACCATTGTGTTTATTATTTCTGGCATTGTAGTTTTGTGAGTTTTCTTGTATAAAATTCAGTCTACCTATATTTTAAATTTTCAGGGTTTTTGTAAGCATTGTTGTTGTTCTGATTTGCACTTTGTTTCGACGAAAGAAAGAAGAAAACGGACAAAGTAAACAAGAAGAAAGTCAACACAGTAATCCACATTCAACTCAATCAACTACAAACGATTCTACAACAGACTCCAATGTTGACGTTGAAATGCCACCTACTGCTACTACCGAAGAAAAAACTGAAGAACGAACGGAAGAAAAACAAGACTTCAACGATGTCGACACTGTTGAAAATACACAAGGCGAGCCTTCTAATGCCAAAACTGGAGTTGCAGTTCCTAACTCTTTTATTGATACGGAAGGCATTGGAGCTAAGCACGACAACGATTTTTCTGTAAAATCTGACGTGACTGTTCCTGATACTTTGATTAGCACAAATACTGTTCATGAAGACCTCGTTGTTGCAGAAGATCCGATTATTCATAATGCAAAATCTGGCGTGGAAGTTCCTGATAGTGTTAATGAAGATTAATATAGAAGTGGAAGAATAATAGATAAATTAGTAGATAGTATATTTTTGTTGATATATGTAATCTGTATGTATACAAAAATTTGTTGTATTTAATTTATGCTGTTATGTACTGTGTAAATAAATTTGTTAATTTTTAATTTCGTATTACAATTTTTTTCTTAATCAATTTCACTTACCAAATATATGCTTAGGACATCCGAGCAGTAAAATGAACCTAAAATTTTACTTGCTTGTCTAAAAATGGAAATTTTTGCCTTCAATTTTTTTGTCTATCACACTCTTAAACCTTAATCTAATTACTCACATTTTAATGTGCAATTACCTCACTCTGAAACAGAGCTTTTTCGAAAGAAAAACCCTTTGAAAATATAAAAAAGCACAATTCGGGGCTGAGCGTTATGGCGTTTGGCGTCCGTTTTTGGCCGATTTTTGTTTTTTACACCCCGAATGATGGCAATTTTTTAAATATTATGTGGGAGAGAATACATTATCAAACTCGGATTCGAATAGTGTTGGAGTGGAAGCCACAAAACAAAAAACTGAAAAGTAAAGAAGAATGAGGTTGCATGTATTGAGGTATATCGAATGATTTACATGGATTGAGGTGAGTTTGAGGGGTATTGGAAGATTTGGATGGATCAAGAGGGGTAAGGGGGATATCAGGTGATTTGGAGTTTTCAGGTGACAATTTAGTTTTTTTGTAAACTAAATTGTTAATAAAAGTGGGAATTTTTTACTCATCTGATAGAGGATAAATTAATCAGTAGTTTCTGTTAATGTTATTTATAAACCGTAAAATTAGAAAGATAATTTGAAGAAAGGAATGTTTGTGCGTTTGGTCCTATATCTTTTTCCGGCACTGGAATTGGATAATATTGTTTAGTTAATTTTATTAAATAATCTGTACAGGGTGGCCCTTTCCAAAACACTAAAATAGGGCGCAGCCACTCAAAAATAGGGCAAAAATAGGGCGAAATCGGCCAAAAATAGGGCAAAAAATAGGGCATTATTTCAAAAGCTTAAACATAATTAAAATTTCTAATAAAAAACTGCATTTTGTATATTTTTTACTAGTTTAACTAAATTGAGCAAATCGGGATCAGAAATAGAGTGCATATGCCTGGATACAATTAAAACCAGAATTCTCTCCTAATCAACGCTTCTCTCCTTGATTGCAGTTTAATTAAGCCGTTCTAATTAAGATTTAAAACTTCCAATCTCAAGTAAAAGTTCGTCCAAATTATTTGATTCATTTGAACAACATTTTCCATAGGCTGATCCAATTTTCTGAACTTTCGAAAGCAAAAATCCAGCTTTCTTCCTTTTTCAGCGCCGCAGGCGAAAATTTTAAGAATTTTGGAGATCTTTAAGCCAGATTTCTTCCATTTTTTGCGCCGCAGGCAAAAATTTTTAACATTTTCGAAGACCAAGGGGCCAGAATACTTCCCTTTTAACCGCCGATGGCGAAAATTTTAAGAATTTTGGAGGTCAAGAAGTCAGATTTTTTCCTTTTTCTGCTATTTCTTTTACGAAATTCTAAAATTGAAAAAATTTTACAAGATTGTAAAAATAGGGCAAAAATATGGCAAATGAAAAAATAGGGAAAAAATAGGGCGAAAAGGCCAAAAATAGGGCAAATGCCCTGTAAATAGGGCAAAAGGGCCACCCTGAATCTGTATGATGAGACTGACTTCGCACCATGTCGAACAGTTCTTATCTCGAACAATTCAGGAAAAAGGAGAGTAAATTTAATTATTATTAGACAATGTAATCATATAAAAGTTAAACATTCTATCATATCATTCTCAATTCCTACATCGATCAACGTTATTTTTTCTGAATCGGCAGCTTCAATTTAGTCGTGATGCGAATTTGCAATTCAAACACTTTTGGAATGTTGTCTGCCTCCTCCATCGTTCAATGCATTTCAATTCTTTTGGTTTTCGAATTTGTTGTTCAATGTGAAGAAGTCGGACTTGGCAAGCATGTGTTGGTTAACGAGACAATTATTGAGCTCAAAAACAATACGAGGATTGCCGAAAACGACACGGATCTTGAACAATACAGGAAGCTGGAGGGCGCTTGTGATGTCACTTTGGACAACGATGGAAATATGTAAATATTTTTACATTAATTTATTTAAATCCCCTCATTTAACAGCATTCTTTCGTACTCCAAAAATTCCAGCACGACTGAGTTTGGCTGTTCTGTTGATTTGGTTACAAAGAATGAAGGGCAAATCTTATTGGAATTTGGTATCTTGCACTTTGGCAATCTAGCCGAATGTATCACGAATGAAAATTCCGTCCCGGATAATTTGTATATAAATTTTGATTTGTAAAATAAAGTTTAATTCATTTAGCATATCGTTTTCCTACAGCA